AGATGAAGGTCACTCAGCTGTTGCTACACTGGCCCTAAAAACCATTTTTAAAAATTAGTTTCAAGTGAAACATATGAAATATTGATTGAATCCAAGCCTTCATATACTATGCATTTGAAAATAAAACTTTTCCTAAGATTAATTTTTCAGGAAAAAATATTTTTAGTCTGATTCGGTAACAAAATATGAATTAAGAGCATTTTATGAAAAATCCTCTTTGCCTGGCAATTCAAAAAGCTGTGTTTGCACTTCACCATTAACCAGTGAAAAAGCTCAGACCCAATTAGATGGTTGTACCCTTTGCTCCGAGGATCCCCATCTTGGCAGAGGAAGGATCAGTCTGGATCTAATCTAGACATACTATAGGGCAGGCATGGGTAAACTTCAGTCCTCCAGGAAATGTAGGAATTGAAGTCTAAAACACCTGGAGGACTGAAGCTTGCTCATGCCTGCTAGAGGGCAACAGGTAGCTCGTTTCTTCCCTGCTTTGGCCAGGAACAATCCTCTCTGAAGATGGCCATGTAGCCTTCTTGTATTCTTGAATATTATAACCTGCATTCTCATCTTTAGGCCAACTTTCCTAGGGAGATCAAACGGCCTCCCCACCTTACTGGCCGCTCTCTAAGTTGAGAAACGTTGCTCTACATCAGTGTTTCCCAACCTTCCTAATGCTGCAACCCCTTAATACATTTCCTCATGTTGTGGTGACCCCCAACCATAACATTATTTTGCTACTTCATAACTGTAATTTTGCTCCTGTTATGAATTGTAATGCAATTATCTGATAGGCAGGATGTATTTCCATTCACTGGATCAAATTTGGCACAAATACCCGATATGCCCAAATTTGAATAGTGGTGGGATTGGGAGGAGGGGGGATTGATTTTGTTATTTGGGAGTTCGAGTTGTTGGGATTTATAGTTCACCTACAACCTGAACTCCACCAATGATGAAATTGAACCATACCTTACACACAAAACTCCCATGACCAACGGAAAACACTGGAAGGGTTTGGTGGGCATTGACCTTGAGTTTGGAGTTGTAGTTCACCTATATCCAGACAGCACTGTGGACTCAAACAATGATGGATCTGGACCAAACTTGGCACAAATACTCAATATGCCCAAATGTGAACACTGGTGGAGTTTGGGGAAAATAGACCTTGACATTTGGGAGTTGTAGTTGCTGGGATTTATAGTTCACCTACAATCAAAGAGCATTCTGAACCCCACCAACAATCGAATTGGGCCAAACTTCCTACACAGAACCCCCATGACCAACAGAAAATACTGTGTTTTCTGATGGTCTTTGGCGACCCCTCTCACACCCCCAGCGACCCCCTCAGGGGTCCCGACCCCCAGGTTGAGAACCACTACCCTAATGTATATCAGAACAAAACCAGAACAGTTTTACAGTAGTTTGTGTGTGTGTGTGTGTGTATATTGTCTTCTAAATCTTTTAAAATAAATTACTGTTTTGAGTTTTTATCATCTTGAGTCCCAGTCCTCAAAAATGGCAGGATAGAAATGAATAAAACATGCCTGGAAGATATTTGACTGAAAATGAGGAACATTTTTTTCAGTTAGATTTCACGTCCTGCTGTTTTAAAAACCCAATACTGTCTGTATCCCTTTTCATTTTTGGTAGAAACATATTTCACATTATCAGGGAGTTAATTCCTTGATCTAATTTGTCTTCTTGGACCTTTGTTCAGATAATACTTATTTGAACTCTTAAATTAAGCTACAGAAATTATTGTTTTATATGCTACTTTGCTGGTACAATTTACTTTATGGAAAGTCCTTAATTGTCATTAATTGTCCAAATGAAGACACTGGTCTGAAATGTAATTCTATACATTACTGACTGGGTGGGACATAGAATCAAAGAATCATAGAATCATAGAATCAAAGAGTTGGAAGAGACCTCATGGGCCATCCAGTCCAACCCCCTGCCAAGAAGCACGAATATTGCATTCAAATCACCCCTGACAGATGGCCATCCAGCCTCTGTTTAAAAGCTTCCAAAGAAGGAGCCTCCACCACACTCCGGGGCAGAGAGTTCCACTGCTGAACGGCTCTCACAGTCAGGAAGTTCTTCCTAATGTTCAGATGGAATCTCCTCTCTTGTAGTTTGAAGCCATTGTTCCGCGTCCTAGTCTCCAAGGAAGCAGAAAACAAGCTTGCTCCCTCCTCCCTGTGGCTTCCTCCCGCATATTTATACATGGCTATCATATCTCCTCTCAGCCTTCTCTTCTTCAGGCTAAACATGCCCAGCTCCTTAAGCCACATAGGGCTTGTTCTCCAGACCCTTGATCATTTTAGTCGCCCTCCTCTGGACACATTCCAGCTTATCAATATCTCTCTTGAATTGTGGTACCCAGAATTGGATACAATATTCCAGGTGTGGTCTAACCAAAACAGAATAGAGGGGTAGCATGAATTCCTTAGATCTAGACACTATACTCCTATTGATGCAGGCCAAATTCCCATTGGCTTTTTTAGCTGCCACATCACATTGTTGGCTCATGTTTAACTTGTTGTCCACGAGGACTCCAAGATCTTTTTCACACGTACTGCTCTCGAGCCAGGCGTCACCCATTCTGTATCTTTGCATTTCAATTTCACACAAAAATCTGAATGGTGGTGATTTGTTTTATTTAATGAATAAGGCTTGTTAAACTAAATATCAGGGTGGAGGGTGATAAGAGAATCTGTATTAGGAAACTTTTGGAACACTTTTTTTTTATAAAGAACACGTTCCTTGTTTTTATTGGTCATGTATGCATTACATTTGAAATATAAAAAAGTGTTCCAAAAGTTTCCTAATACAGATTCTTTTATCACCCTCCATCCTGATATTTAGTTTAACAAGCCTTATACATTAAATAAAACAAATCACCACCATTCAGATTTTTGTGTGAAATTATCAAAATTAGAATATTGTTATTACATTTATTTATACCCCACTTTACCTTTCCCGCAGGAGACTCAAAGCAGCTTATCATAAAAATAGGCTTGTTATTAATTTCTACTACAGGTAGGATCCTTGTTACAATGAACAGCAACACCTCAGAAGTGAACTCAGTCAAGCATCATTTCCCAGTTATCTTATTTTCTAAATAAAAATTTAAAAATGATTTGTCTATAAAGATTGCAAGTAGGTAGAAAATAAAAATTTTAAAAATAGAGAAGACCCCAAAGGTCTCAAAAAGAACACGTTCCTTGTTTTTATTGGTCATGTATGCATTACATTTGAAATATAAAAAAGTGTTCCAAAAGTTTCCTAATACAGATTCTCTTATCACCCTCCACCCTGATATTTAGTTTAACAAGCCTTATTCCATAAACAAGACACGGGGCATTCCAACCTGTTCTCCTATCAACAGTTTTGCTTCCAAGTCACCAAAATACACATAAGCTTTAATAAGAAACCACATCCTAAGAAACTTAGCTCAGCTGAACCTACTTGTTGTAATAAATACTAAGCAGCATCTACTCCACCAAAGGATTATTTTAAGGAAGCAAAAAATAATCCTCATTAGCTGTGGAGGGATATAAACTAAGGGGAGTGGTAAATGTTATACAAAATATTTGAACAGCATTATTCTCCACTCATTAAAGTGCTGAAAATTGGGTTTTTCTCCTTTCTAACAACTCTTGTTTTGGTTACGCATTCCTTTTTTTACTTCAACCAATGTCAATTTTTTTCCAGTAGGAATAGTGACAACTGAAATGCTATTTTTTAAGGACACCAATAGACAATGGCATGTACACAGACCTTCTGGTATAATTCATAAGCCTTCCAAAATCTTTAAAAGACTGCAGAGTTCTTTGGGAAAATCACTTTTCTTGCTAGTTTTACATGTGAAACAACAATTCTAGAGCTTCAGTGTTGCAATTGAGGAAAGGAGCTGCTCTAGGTGATCACAGAGGTTTCTTTCCACCAAGTCTCATTTTCAGGCAAATGAGGCTGCGATCCTATCATCAAATACCTATAAGTCCAAAATGCAAATGGATTTACTATTGGGTTTGATGTATACAAGATTATAATGTAACTCCCTATGGAAAAGGGGTGATTCAAGTGATACTGTAACATTAAACAAATTTTCAGTTCACTTTCTGCAACTAGCAAAGAAAAGAGACAATGGGCTGTTTGTATCCTAACATGCAATACTAAACATGAGTAATAGATCAGTTTATAAAATTTAAAAATACATATCACACATTCACAGACATATCAGTTATAAGTAGGGCCTTGCGTAAAGATAATGAAGCGCCATTGGCTGGCACGGATGCCTGCAAAATCTGCTCTAGAGCTAGACAGCTTCATTCCTAGGTAGAATTGTTATGTTTCCAGGTGATGAAAATGACCAAATATGTGTTTACACATCTTGAATTGGAATTTTGTAAATCAAAACAACTATGCAGTTTCTTTTTTTTTTTGGAACAGATTACTTCCTGGCTTGATTCCCCAGTATCTTCTGAATAATGCTTGGTTTTGGGACACTTCTGTTAGCAAAGTTCTTAGCAGATGCTGCTGCTGGACATGCTCAGTTCATTGTCATGGATACAAAATAACATATGGGAACAATTATGTGACGTCAGACCGAAAGCCAAAAAAGGCTATGCTTAATTTCACCGTTTCATTCAGAGTTTTATTAACCCACCTTTGCAGAATCTCATTTAGCAAGAGCCCCCAGAGCTGTAAAATCCATTAAAGAACAATGAAATGTACTAATAGCGAGGCAGGAGTGCGGTGGGAGATTAGATTTTGATAGTGCATGAAAGTTGCAGAAATTAGGTTTGTGTTTGTCTTTTGACTTGTTTATAAAATTTGTAAAGGAGCAGCATACCTACTTCTTTAGCTTCATTTTTGTGTTAGGAAATCAAATCAAATACATGAATAGATGTTGAATTCTCTAGTATAAAGCTGTGGGGAAAATCCACACATAATGCCCATTTTATGTTGTATGTAAAATTACACAAGTAGAAAAAAAGTTATGCTTATTAATAGTTTAATGTATGAAGGAAACATCCAGACTGCTGTATATGAAGGTACATCTGTCACATTAAAGTCTACATAAAGTAGAGCCTCTATACTGACATACTGAAAAGATTTACTTTCTGCTTAGCCATTTCTGTTATGTAAACAATTGTACATTTATCTGCCATTCTAAAACTTCAGGATCAAGTTTACATAATTTTGCTAAATTTCTGTGTATGCCCAGAAGCAGCTTACAGTACTAAAAACCAACCAGCCAAAGAACAGCTTTAACAGAAAGTTTTGTCCAAAATTAAGAATAATCATAAGGGAAAGGAAATGAAACTAAGAGAGGCTAAGTTGAACCATATGATGGTAGGGAACGGGCAGTCACAATGTTCACAGAAAAGGGTCAGTTAGTACGTTCTTCTGCGAAAGCCTACACACTTCAGTCCAGAACAACCGAAGAATGATCAGAGAGCTGAGGAAAAACTGGTTCTTTCGTTTATATTTTTCCTCTAAGCCAGAAGAAAACCTCCTGGCTATGAGAAGTGATCCCCGTTCAGCCAAGCTGGTTCATATGCACACTGTTCATGTGAGGTGTCCACGTTCCAGTCCATACCTAAAGGAAAAGGGAAAAAAAGGTTTTAAGCTCTGCTGTTTCAAACGCACATAACATCTCACTGCAACAAACTTCTATTCTGCTTGGTTCCACATTTAAAAATGTGCAGTATGCCTCCATGTAAAGCATCTTGGATGTGCAAATTATTCTGACATTTCCCCATCCCACTCTTGAGACTGCATTATGTACATATACTGCCATCAGCAACGGCCCCAGAGCCCAACCTGGCGAGGAAGGCATGGAGCAACGAAGTGGCAAGGAGGAGGGCCTCGTCCCTCCGCTGCTCTGTGCTCCTTCCTCGTCAGGCTGAGCGCCAGGCTTGGGAGCCCAGCCTGGCGAGGAAAGCATGGAGCAATGGAGGGTCAAGGAGGAGGGCCTCGGCAGCTTCTCCCTCACCCCTCCGCTACTCTGTGCTCCTTCCTTGCCAGGCTGGGTGCCAGGCTTGGGAGCCCAGCCTGGCGAGGAAGTCATGCTCCCTGCATGAGGCTTCTTTTCCCGAGCGCCCGGCAACGCCAGTGCACATCCCTCTCCTGGCGTTAGGAAGTGTGCGCCCTGCATTGCTCCTTCCCCACGCACTTCCTAACGCCGGGTGAGGGACGCACGGCAGCATTGTTTTCCTTGGCCTGTGAGGAGAAGAGAGGAAGACAACGTGTGTGCACACGCACACTTGTGAGGTAAGGAGAGAGAGAGCTGCCTCTGGGTGTTTTTCGGGGCAGGGGCAACTCAAGAGCGCCCCCCGAGATGCGCGCTCTACGCAAAAGCGTAATTTGCGTACCGCCTTGAGCCGCCCCTGACTGCCATGACAAAAAATCAAAAAACTTTTAACAACCTAGGAATAGTACTTCTGTTTTATGAGTCCAAAACATCTGGGGAGCACCAGGCTGCATGCCCTTGCCTTAAAGTATCCCCAATATTCTGACTCCAGGAACTATACAGTAAAGTTCAAGTGTTGACATTCATCAGTCCATCTAATTTGTCTAAAGCAGTAAGATTCTAAGACTTACTGTTTGAGGGCCATTATTCTCTGTAGAATTTGAAACCATCTTTATCAGCGAGTTCCAGGATGGGTCAGCAGCATGAGGTCCGTTAAATACAGGACCTCCAGCACCATCTGCAATGGGTGCAACAGGGGGAATCATTGCATTCCCATACACGGAGAAAGGCATGCCCTGTCAGAGAAAAAAACCCAAGTAATTTAATATGTATTTCATACAAATATTTATGTCATAGTAATAGAAGTTCACTCTGCCTCTATGTTAGGAAAATGCAAATTTCCATTCATTCAATCAATGATTTATTACGGTCTTTGACCAGCACAGTATAGAATGGGGCACCGGTGCCCAAGGGAGGCCCAAGAATTCTAAAACCAGCTTACTCTGGATGGTACAGGGTGCAGCAGCATAACTTCCTTTTTTCAGAACTTAATAAAACCCATTGTATGAATCAGATTTTTTTTAAAAAAATGTAGGCACATACCTAAAGTTTTGTTTTACATAGTTTTGAAGATCAAATTAGGTAGGTGACGTCCCCCATTCTCTATACACTGAGTAAACCGATTTCTGGCATTTGTCATGACTCTTGCCAGCATAGCAGGCATTATGTTGACAATTTCTTCCTGGATGTCGGTTTTCACATCTTGTAGGGTCCTTGGATGGTTCACATAAACATGGGATTTCAAAAATTCCATAGAAGAAAATCACAAGGGGTCAAATTTCAAGAGCGGGCCGGCCACTCCAAATCCTAATTGAGATGAGGTGCTCTGGGAAGTGTTCCTCAAAACAGCCATCGATGCTCTTGAAGTGTGTGCAGTTGCACCGTCTTGTTGGAACCAAATGTCCCCTAAGTCCAACCCATCTAGCCGTGGGGAAAAAAAATCCTATAACGTTTACTGTCACTGCGACTTCATTTTCCTCAAAGAACCAGGGACCAATAATTCCAGCTGAGGAAATTGTGATTTTAGGTTAATGCAAAGGCCTTTGATGCAATTTTCGAGGATTGTTGTCAGTCCAGTAGCGCATGTTTTGTTTGTTGACGGATCCATACAAATGAAAATGGGCTTCATCACTAAAAAAAAAAAAATAGCCGTCCTCAGGAACAACTTCGAGAAGAACCTCACACGCGTTCCTCCGAGGACTGAAGTCACGTTCAGAAAGTTCCTGCACAATCACCATCTTGTAAGGATGGAAATGAAGATCATCATGAAGAATTCTCACAGAACGATTGGAAAGTCCAAGGGCAGACGCGTGTTTGCGCGCAGAATGCCGTGGTGATCGCAACATTGAAGCTCTCGCTGCCTCAATGTTCTCAGGTGATCTAATAGGCCGAGGGACTCCAGTTCTTCGTTTTGTCGCACTTGCAGTTTGTCTGAATGTAGTGACCCACGTCACAATTGATTTCTGGTCCGGGACAGGGGCCAATGGGGCTAAATTAAAGCGATTCCGAAAGGCACGCTGGTTTGCGATCACAAAACATCCGCTTGAAAAGTAGGCCTCAATGGCAAAAGCACACTCCTCACTGTTCCAATGCATGATGGCGACTGAACTGTGTCAGGACAAAACTTTATACTCCCGCCTCTTGAACGAAACCACTAGCGCTCCGTTACGTCTTCAATCGACTGAATGGCACACATTTCAAAAAAAGAAGTTATGCTGCCGCACCCTGTAGATAATTTTTGTTACAATTTCCCTGAGAAATGTTGTTATTGAAGTATACCTGGCAGATATTTGAGTTATTCCAAATCAGGGTAGGCAACTGCACAGGTACAAAGGGCACTTTTATGCCCTGGGACCCTACAGAGCCTGCAAAGACTACCAAAATTAAAAAAAACTGTGTAGTTTTTTGTTAAATAGTACATGCAGGCCTTGAAATCTACTGAAAAGGTAGGCTTCTAGGAGTAGGAATACACCCTCTGTTTGGGGATCCAGGAAGTATCAGGGAATGCAAACTTTTCCAACCCTGTTTTAAATAATCAAATTGTTCACATCACACTTTCCTTTTACCATGCTGCTCTTTAGATTTGCTAGTGGGCAGTTTATGGTATGACTAACACAGACCTTAGTCAGCTATGGAACTCTGCCAGAACAGCCTCCTCCCTGCTGTCTTTCCAGTGGCAGCTAAAACCTTTATTCAGGCAGGCTTATAGAGAAGAAAGTTTGTAAGCGTGAGTTGGGGGGGTACTTGATTTTTTTTAACTTTTTAATCATTTTAATGGATTTTAAACTGCACTATTTTTAATGTTAGCTGTTTTGTGTTTCAATCAAGATAAAAGGGTCATATTATTATTTATAATAAGTACTGCAAATGCAAGTATTGCTTGATTATTTTAGCTACTTTACACTCTTTCCGGATATCTTGGCTCCTACAGAGATGAAGACAAAATGAGGATTGCAACAAGGCCAGCTGGAATATGTATGGGTCAGAGAGAGAAAAAGCTGGGTCAGAGAGAGAAAAAACAATATGGCCCACCTAGAAAAGTGGAAAGACTTCAGCAAATGCTCAGGAGGAAAAAAGTGTGGGTTCTTGTGTGGATTAACAGGAACAATATTATGTTCTGTGGCCTGGACTTATACTAACATTAGTTAGTATAAGCGCGATTGGTGGGGACGAGGGATAGGGCTTTCTTGGTAGTGGCCCCTCGACTCTGGAACTCTCTCCCTAAGGACATCAGGCAGGCCCCGTCGCTAGCAATCTTTAGGAGGAGCTTGAAAACATGGATGTTCCAGTGTGCCTTTCCAGAATAAGGAAACTCCTAGCATTATGTCCCAACACACTTTATCAGAGATTTAGGATATCTGCATGCCCACTCTCCTCCAAACACCCCACCTGTCATGCCCAGCACTTTTTAATTTTAATTATTACATTTGGCCCAGCCATTGTTTTTAACTGCATCACTGCGTGTTGTTAATGTTATTGCTTGTTTTGTTTTATTTTGCTGTATTATTGTTGTTGTTGTTTATTGTATTTTGGGCTCGGCCCCGTGTAAGCCGCACCGAGTCCTTCGGGAGATGGTAGCGGGGTACAAATAAAGGGGTTTTTATTATTATTATTATTATTTCCTTCTGCTATTCCATCTTTAAAAGCAAGCCTTGACTTTTTCATTTTTTTGAAATGAACAAAATGTTATACAACTGAAAGTTTGTCAAAAGAATTCAGAAATATAAATTGACATTCTGAGGCTGAAAAATAAAAATTTGGAAAGAAAAAGGGCCACTCCCATTTCAAATGCTTGTCAAAAGGGAAATCTAATCAAGGAATTAGGTCAAATGCCCCTTCTGTTTGTACCAAAACCTGCGCAGAGCAACAATATGCTGCTCATATGAATCAGAATCTGACTCATATATGACCTTGGTATAAACACAAAACATGCATAGTTATCTACATCAAACAGCCAGAAAGAAATCACAATGTAGCACATGTCCTTCCCCAATGACAGTATATGAAAGAGTTTTTAAAGAAAACGTGTATTTAAAGATTGTTTTCAGCAAAGCATAATTACCCCAACTTTAGGGAAGTCCATATATCCTGCGGGAACGTGTTGATGGAATGTACCAGAAGGAGTTACAATTCCTGTGCTGTCTCTCTCCATTGCTTGATGTTGTGAAAATACACCTGGATCAGACATTGGCCTGTGAATCATATGATTTCCCATTCCACTGTGACACCAATCTACTTTATCTAGCAAGAAAGAAGTGGGTATATACATTAGTAGCTCATTTTTACCTAAATTATTCAGATGTGGCAGGGAAAAGTTATTGCTCGACAGATAATGCCAATGTTTGGCACAATGATCTGGGATGTAAACAAGTGAGACCCAAATTGGTTTTGCTTCAGTTTTTTTGTAATGCACCACGGTGTAATATTAGTTGCTAAAATAATAATTCAAATATTTAACTTTTAATAAATTAATGAACAACAAACAATGATGGTGCTATAGAACAAATACAAGTCTTGCCATTCCTATGCCTTAGCTGGCCTCTTGCCATTCCAATCATGGGCTTAACTGCCCTCAAACAAAGCAGCAGAGGATGATATATAAATGTGTACAAGGCAATACCTACCACCTTGATTTCCCCCTATTCCTTCGAAAGACCATATACCACTGTGACCGACTGGAGTGGCTAAGTTGCTCCCTATAACAGAGGGTGTTGTTGTTCCAGTTTGCCTGATACGTGCAGAACGCTCAGTTCCAATGGGGACAGGGACCTTTCTGTCCTGAGACACGCTGTTGGGCTTTTCTGACCCGAGCGAAACAGCCGAAGGTGTTGGAGATGGTGCTCTAACTCCCGCAGATACTGGCTGAGCAGGGGGTTCTAAAAAAAAGAAATATTCAAAACATTAGAGAAGTTCAACAGTTCTAACATTTCAAGAAAGCAGGCTTCCACTGCAATCCACACTTAGAACAGGAGACTGAACCTCATTGGCTGCTTTTTTTTTTTGACGTGTCAGGAGCGACTTGAGAAACTGCAAGTCGCTTCTGGTGTGAGAGAATTGGCTGTCTGCAAGGACGTTGCCCAGGGGACGCCCAGATGATTTGATGTTTTTATCATCCTTGTGGGAGCTTCTCTCATGTCCCCGCATGAGGAGCTGGAGCTGATAGAGGGAGCTCATTCGCCTCTCCCCGGATTTGAACCTGCGACCTGTCCTGCCGGCACAGGGGTTTAACCCACTGCGCCACCAGTGGCTGCTATGTCATAACTAAAATCCACCTAACCATATTCTACCCACCAATCTAAATGCTGGGCCAGTTATTTCAGGTATTCACAATTGACTTTCTAAATGTACAATGGAAATAACTATTGGAAGGATCTTTTTGGCAGAGTGCATCACAAGCACAGTTGTCAGGATTCTCATTCCTAAGGAAAAAAAATGAGAGCAATCTGCCACCAAACCAAACTGTATTTTCTATGCAGATTAAATTAAATCGTTTAATAGTGCAGTATCAGACAGGCTACATCAGGGGTCCACAAACTTTTTAAACAGAGGGCCAGGTCACAGTCCCTCAAACTGTTAGAGGGCCGGATTATAATTTGAAAAAAAACATGAATTCCTATGCACAGTATACGTATCTTATTTGTAGTGCAAAATATACTTATAAACAATATAATCATTAAAATGAAGAACCATTTAAACAAATATAAGCGTATTAGTATTTCAATGGGAAGTGTGGGCCTGCTTTTGGCTGATGAGATAGGATTGTTGTTGTTGTTGTTGTGTGCTTTCAAGTTGTTTCAGACTTAGGTTGACCCTGAGTGAGGGCCGGATAAACGACCTTGGAGAGCTATATCTGGCCCTCGGGCCATAGTTTGAGGACCCCTGCTCTAGTGGATATATTGGAGGCATGACTTGTAATCATTTCAGCATAAAAAAATATTCCAATCAAAGCAGAGTCAATGAGAAAGAAGTCGTTCTCCCCTTCTGTATGGCAACACATCCGGAGATCTAGTATAATGTTGGATTACCCTGAGTTACAATACTTCAACAAAACCAGGTTTTGTTTTGTTTTTGACTAACAACTCACCATTTGATGCAGAGGAACATGGAGGCAATAGGTTGAGTGGGGAGAAATGCTGTCTGTTAAAATTAGCAGCTGCCGGTGCTCCTCCAAGAGGTGCTCCTGTTGCATACACTTGACCACTTGAAATATTTGAGGCAAAATTGCCCAAATGCGTAGAAGAAGGTGTTACAGAACCATATGGCGAATCCATGCTGACAATACCTATCAAATGATTTGCAAAATATTAGTCCTACCAATAATGATATAAGCCCACCTTCTAGTTCCATTCAAATTAAACTCATCAGAGCAATGGGTCTGACAGAAGTGTTGGCTTGCCAGCTTTCAAATTATGTGTCAATTCCTTAATAATAATAATAATAATAATAATAATAATAATAATACTTTATTTATACCCCACCACCATCTCCCCAAGGGGACTCGGGGCGGCTTACATGAGGCCAAGCCCAACAACACATCAGTAAAAATAAAACAGCAAGCAAATAAAACAGTACAATTAATATAACTCATATATAAACAATAACACACAGAATTTAAAACTTTATGGTCGGGCCAGATGTAATAAATTAAAAATTTTAAAATAAACACTGGGCGTGAACAGAGGTAGGGTGTATCTAAGCAGGAGGGTTTTAAAAGATAATGTAGGGAGACCAACCCAACAGGTAGTAAAGTGCTTCTGAGGACAATTGCAGAGAATTAATCAGAGCAGGGCATTGTTTCCTTATTCAGGGAAGGCACACTGGAACAGCCACGTTTTCAGGCTCCTCCTAAAGACTGCCAATGTGTTTATTCTAGCTAGTACTAACAACTGCACTTAGGCCCTAGTTACAAGTACATCAAAACAGTATACCTATCCAAAATTATATTGTGGGTTCCCTTATGTCTTCACAATCTCAAGATCAACTAGAAGTGGTTGAGAATACCGTGAGTATTTAACAATCAGTTTCTGCGTCAACTAAAAAAAGCGTTTGTGTACTTTTCTGACTTGGCATAAATTGTACAAAAATTGACAAAACAGATCCAATAAAAGCAAGGATGCTGTCATTTTACTAATCCAAACATGCAAAATAATGAGATGATTTGTCATCCTTCCATGATGCTCAATGACACTGAGTTATAATTTCTGTATTGATATTCAACTAGTTTACATTTGTACAGAGCAGATCCAGTTGTTGTTGGGGAAACATATGAACTGAGAAGGAAATAGGAAATATCTGATATTCCGTGCTCCAGCTAAGCCTTTCTTCCATGAAAAAGGTTCACAGAGAGAATATTTTTATTCCACCCCAAAGGTTTCCAATAATTGGGAAACAATATTCAGAAAGATTAGGGGGTATTATACTAACCTGATTGTTTGGTGTCAAGTACGCATAAAGATACATATATTGAATTGTGTGATAATATTGTAAAATAAGAAAGGAAAATGCAAATATTCACCTGAGGAATTTGGAGCTGGTCTCTGCAGCGGGGGCCTAAAACCTGGAGCTTTGGAAGTATCTAATTGGTGTATTGTATCTGGGTTTGGCAGAAATGAAGACTTTCCAGGTATAATGGACTCTGGAGCTGTCTGAGATGACAAGACAGATCCACCCCAGAAGGCATGAGCAGAAGCAGGGTTGTTTTCGAACAGTGTGCTGAAGGGTCCAAATGGTAAAGCAGCACTGAAGTTGGTGGCCATAGACTTGTTTGGTGGGTGGACTGAATTTTGAGAAGCACTTTGTGTACTTAAGGTAGAAGGAAGTTGCACTGATGAAGGAACACTATGGGGTCTTTTTATGTGATTGACATTAAGGACAGCAACGGAAGAATTCTGGACAGGAGTGGAATTCTTGTGCGCGGGATTTGTTCCATGGGAAGGCAGCCGGATAGCGGGGCTTTCCATTTTAACTGGAGGAGGTTGCTGAGGAGCTCCCACTGACGCCTGAGGCAAAATATAGTTTGCTGGGGAATTCACGGGTGCATTAGCAGGAGCAACTGCTGGGGCAGAAGAACTCACTGCTGCTAAGTTTGGAGGCACAACCATTCGAGGATCTTGTGATGGAACCTGAGGCTGCTGTAGAGGTGGCCTTGCTTCTTGAGAAACAGACCTGAGAGGCTGTGGCTGAGGAGGATGCTCCGAAGAAACACTGACAGAGCCACTGCTTGATTGCCTGTTGTTGGCCAGATTGGCTGTTTCAACTGCTGGAGGGCTCCTCACTTCCTGATCAGAGGAAGGCACCCCTTTACTTGGAGAACCTGTCACACATTCTGAAGGACTGCTTCTAGAAGCTCTCACTGGCTGGGCTGGTGGAGAAGGGGAGGAAGTGGACGACACGGGATAGTGCTCTTTGGCAGTAGGAAAAGGATATGTGGCATTGGTAGGTGTTGTGCTATTGTTGCTTGCTGTGGTTGCTATTGTGGTCGTGGTGGTGCTGGATGTCTTAACCACAGTGACAAACAGCTGCCTTCGAACTGAAGGTGAGCTGGGGCTGCCACTTGCAGAAGAAACAGGCACAGTAGACACAGCTGAACTTGTGGTAGCTGTTGGACTGGAAGTTGAAGAACCCACTGAATTCACCTGAGAACCACTGCTGTTCTGATTGTTATGGCGAGGCACCGTGTGAGGCTTAGGTGAGTTGGTTGCTCTTGCAGGGCTCAGAGGTCGAACAGGGAAGGGGCCCCAAGTGGACTGGGCTGGTGGGAAAGTTCCTCCAAAATGAGTCATAGGCAATCTCGGAGGACGGATCTGTTGGAAAGTCTGAGCAGCAAGCAAAGCATGTGCAAACTGGGGAGGAGGATATGCTAATGGCAGAGAGACTGGAAATCCAGGCCGCACATTATTCACAGGGTTCTTGACTGTTTTGTGAGTAGATGTGGAAGAAACAGCAGGCACAGAAAGTGCTGTGGAAATCTGAGGTGATGACGAGATTGCTACCGTGGTTGCCTTGCTTCCAGCTACAGAATTGTGAGCAACTGCAGTGGCGGTATGTACCGGCATCCCCGTCTTGGGGTAGGCTGCAGAATTTTTCAAACGATTCTTTGGAATGAGCTCATCAATTTCCTTATCGGGATCCTTAATCAAAGCATTTATGAGCTGTGTTGCTTGTCTTGTTGATTCAGTGCCTCCCCTATTAACAAAATTGAATAAACACATGAGGACCTGACCATTGTTTTCTCATTTACAGATATATTGGCATTTTTTCATATAATAAGAAAATGGACAAAATGGATAAACTTTGAAGATATGAAATTTGACAGCTTTACAGGATAGTGTTTGTAGAATAATAGCTCTTTCCAACAGCAAAAATCCACAAGTCTGAAATCAAAACAGGGCCAGTGTGAAACAAGCAAAGAAATATCAACATACTCAGGTGAATCTTGAAATATCCAGAAGTACAAACTGAAATAATAATAATAAACTTTATTTATACCCCGCCACCATCTCCCCAATGGGGACTCAGAGTGGCTTACATGAGGCCAAGCCCAAACAACAAAATTACAATAAAATAAGACTGAAAACGCAAACTAAAAACGCATACAAAGCACATCATCATAATAACACAAAACATGTGACTAAATAATGATATAAAATTACAATAACACAATCACAATTAAAGTGGGCGGGCTACATGTAATGATTAAAAGAAAGACTCATTAAAATTGGTTAAAAACTCGGGCGAGATAAAAGAGAAACGAATTGTTTGCAGAGGAGGACTCATTATAGCGGGGATTGTGGGATCAAACTTTCCCATCGGGGGGGGGATGTGTACTCCAATGACAGAAACATTGAGGCTAAACAATAGTGCGGTATTGAATACCTACTCGCCAAAGACGCAGCGGAAGAGGTTCTTTTTAAAGGTTTCTAGGGTAAGAGCTTTCCTAATTTCTCCTGGTAATGAGTTACAGAGTCGGGGAGCCACAGAGGAAAAGGCTCTCTCCCTTGTACTTACCAGGCGGGCTTGTGAAAGAAGGAAAAAAAAGGAGGAAAAAAGCAGGGAGAACTGAGAATGCCCAGTGGCTTTCAAGAACTGTAAAATGTTATTGTCAACTGGAAAAGCAGGCAACTTGGAGAGACATTATTGGTCTGCATGGGTCTCATATAGTGTCCCGGAAGAATACATGATCAGTTAGTTAATCCACTAGTAGGAGCTCCTTGATACATCTATTCTGCTAACTAAAGACCAATAATATACTACATTTAATTGCAGCTATTACTCACATCTATAAAAAAATCATTCTGAAATCTGTCTCATATGATGTTTGCTTAGTAACAGTTCCAAGTTAGTTCATATTAATAAAATAAAATAAAAACCTGAATTTATATTACCTTATTGTTATGATTCTGTCCCCTGTTTTGTCCTTTTGCTTATCAATGTCTATGTGCGCTCCAGTGAATTCTCTGATAGCATTAATATTACAACCACCTCTTCCAATTACTCTGGAAATAACAGTTGATGGAACAGAGACCTTCTTTGATCTAAAAAAAGAAAGATGTATGCATACCAAGTAAAATTGTTTCAGTAAACTTGAAGTTTGGCAGAAGTTAGTAAGAAGTGAGGCTAGGTATATAAATCATGTTGAACAGCAGACTCTCATATCAAGAAGGTTTTTACATGTAAGTAAACTCACAGAATCACAAAGGTTGGCCATATTTATGAGGGGTATTTTTTAAGTAAGGTCCGTTTTGTTGTAGACACTAGTAGTTCGCGCGCATACAGCAACGAGCGCGTGCGTCGTGTACCGGCATGACTCGGGAACAGCTGTGTTCAGTTTCTGCTCTGTACGGTTCTGTTATGTGCTTTAAAAATGTTTAAGACTATCAACTCACCCTCCCCATGTGAGGTTCTCTCAGTGATACGGTTTTTGTCAGCAAGGAACCTGCCTACTGCAGAAATTCATTGACAGATTTGTGAAGTGTACGGTGATACTGTTATGAGTGAAAGCAAAGTGCGTAAGTGGGTACGACAATTCAAAGATGGCCGTGACAACGTCCATGATGAGGACCGCTCCGGTCGCCCTTCTTTGATTACAGACGATTTGGTGGCTTCAGTTGAAGCGAGGATTCGTGAGAACAGGCGCTTCACAACTTGGCAACTATGTCGAAAAATAGAGTGAAGTATGTACTTTCTGAAAATAAATTTACTTTTTTGAAATAAACTTTTGTTGTGTACTTATGTTCCAACGGACCTTACTTAAAAAATACCCCTCGTATTTAGTGGGCCAAAAAGCTACATTCTTGTACATCCTAAGAGGTTGTCCTTTTCAGCTAGTTTGTAAGTGAAAATAAAGGCTGCAGCTATACATGAGACTAGGAATTGAGATGTCAGGGTCAGACTTAGAAAGCCATGGATGAAACTAAGTAATGAAGCACTTTAAAAATGGAAAAAGCTGACAAGACAGAGTAAAAACACAAGCATGGGAAGGACATTCACCTTCCGCTTGTCTGGTGCTGCCCTAGAAAAAGCTTTGATAGTAATCCATGGCTTATAAGCATAGATATCTGTACATAAAACAATGCAAACAATTACCAGATAAATATGACTTTTGGCAGCAAGATAAAACAACACTAATGTAAAACATTTGAAACGGACTGCCATTGAGGAAAATGAAATTTATCATAGTCACAGAATTTCACTTGCCTTCTTACAACCTCCTTCCACCCTTCTTCCCTCTTCTGACCACGTTTAGGGCTGGCTAAAGTGATTTTTCCATTAGGAGAGGAGAGTGGCGATGGACAAGATTTTGTGCAAGTAGATAAGGAATTATTAGTGACTTCTGTAATAACGTCTGACAACCTTTCACAAGGAAGGGAGTGGGTGGGGGGGAAAAGAAAGAATTGCATGTTAACACAGTGCTTATAAGATCAAAATGCAAGACAAAAGCAGGCACTTCCCCACAGTCTATTGAGTGGCAGTTAAACATCAGAACACTGGAATGGATTCAGTGGACCAAACCAACCTTTCACAAGGAAGGGAGTGGGTGGGGGGGAAAAGAAAGAATTGCATGTTAACACAGTGCTTATAAGATCAAAATGCAAGACAAAAGCAGGCACTTCCCCACAGTCTATTGAGTGGCAGTTAAACATCAGAACACTGGAATGGATTCAGTGGACCAAACTCTGCTCAAGCAGGGAGCTTTGAGATGGTAGAACAGAAGCTTTCCGAAGCTCTAGGTGCTCTTACTGCCTATTACAGGGAAAACCAGCTGATCCCCAACCCATCTAAAACACAGACATGTGCCTTTCATCTCAAGAACAGAGAAGCATCCCGAGCTCTGAAGATCACCTGGGAAGGAATCCCACTGGAGCATTGCAGCGCACCCAAATACCTGGGAGTCACTCTGGACCGCGCTCTGACCTACAAGAAGCACTGCCTGAACATCAAGCAAAAAGTGGGCGCTAGAAACAGTATCATACGAAAGCTGACTGGCACAACCTGGGGATCACAACCAGATACAGTGAAGTCATCTGCCCTTGCGCTGTGCTACTCTGCTGCTGAGTATGCATGCCCAGTGTGGAACACATCTCACCACACTAAAACAGTGGATGTGGCTCTTAATGAGACATGCCGCATTATCACAGCGTGTCTGCACCCTACACCACTGGAGAAATTACACTGCTTAGCCGGTATTGCACCACCTGACATCCGCCGGGAAGTAGCAGCCAATAGTGAAAGGACCAAGGCAGAGACATCTCCAGCTCATCCCCTGTTTGGGTATCAGCCAGCACGCCAATGACTTAAATCTAGACATAGTTTTCTAAGATCTACAGAGACACTCGCTGGAACACCTCAGCAAGCGAGAGTCCAAAAGTGGCAGGCTCAAACCCAGAACCTCAACCAATGGCTGATACCAAATGAGAGACTCCCTCCTGGGCACACAGAGGACTGGGCGACTTGGAAGGCACTGAACAGACTGCGCTCTGGCACCAGATGCAGAGCCAACCTTCAGAAATGGGGCTACAAAGTGGAATCCTCGACATGCGAGTGTGGAGAAGAGCAAACCACTGACCACCTGTTGCAATGCAACCTGAGCCCTGCCACATGCACAATGGAGGACCTTCTTGCAGCAACACCAGAAGCACTCCAAGTGGCCAGATACTGGTCAAAGGACATTTAATCAACTACCAAACTCTCAAATTTTGTATTTGTCTGTTTGTTTGCTTTGTCCTGTTAGAAATGTAATATAATTGTCTGGTTGCCCTGACACGACAAATAAACAAATAAGTAAGTGGACCAAATCCAACAGGAATACCCGGAGTTGACCCCATAAAATAAATTAGAGTTTATAGTAATAAATAGCTTCACTCCCAATGATTGTATCGTGTCTGTCGAGGGAAGACTAATGATGGATTTAGCCGTATGCTTTTTAGAATGCAGCTACGGAAATGAATAGGTGTAGCTTAAGTCTGATTGATTTCACCAACTATTATCACTAACCCTGAATCCAAGCAATTACATTTCCCTCAGGCTCAAAAGTTAAATAAACTATTAACATGAAAGATACAATTTTATATTACTTGTTTAGAGAAAAAAAATCAAGTGTGCCATGTGTACACTTAATTAATCTTAATTAAGTGTGATTAATTGACTCAATTTGACATTCAGTTCTGAAAAAATGCACTAGATGATTACTGAAAACTGCCAAACTAACCTAAATTGACAGCTTATTGGGGGAAAACCCATATTTTCCTTTAAATTTTCTTGCAAATTGTTCACATATCTACCATATTTCACCATGTAATAACCCCATGCAGTGGCGCAGTGGGTTAAACCCCTGTGCCGGCAGGACTGAAGACCGACAGGTCGCAGGTTCGAATCCGGGGAGAGGCGGATGAGCTCCCTTTATCAGCTCCAGCTCCTCATGTGAGGACATGAGAGAAGCCTCCCACAAGGATGAAAAAAATATCAAATCATCCAGGCGTCCCCTGGGCAACGTCCTTGCAGACGGCCAATTCTCTCATACCAGGAGTGACTTGCAGTCACTTCTGACACAACACATTGTGTAATGTGTTAGGTTGTTAACTGTTTCTATACTGTAGCACTGAAATTTTGCTGTTCGTATTTGTTGTGAACCGCTGTGAGTTGCCTTCGGGCTGAGAACAGCGGTATATAAGTAAGGTAAATAAATAAATAAATAAATAGTTGGATTGTTTTCATCACATAATAGTCACGCCCTCTTTCTTTGGCAAAAAGGGATAAAAAATATTACTATTATGCAATGAAATACAGTAATTAATAAAAAAAATACATGATAAAGAGGATAAAACCCTCAAGGGTTTCCTAAGAGATCAGAATGTCTTTTGAACCCTTTCAGACAGATTGGTTTACAATTCCCATCATCCTCAGTCAGCATGGCCAATGGCATCTTTTGTATACAAGAAACACACAGAGACATCACAATGAGAAGACCAAAAATCCTTGGAATGCAACTGGAAGTGGAATGACCTCACCGACAATATGGTAGTGGTATTTTTGTACGATCTGGTGTAGCAATCTCTGCAACCTCTCTCACAGAAGTGAACAACATTGAAATTCTATCTGTAGAACTCGATAGCTGTGGTGTATCATCACTCTATAAACCACCTGGGGATGATTTCTATTTTATGTCCCCAACCAATTGCCACAATCATCAAGCCCATTTTATTGTGGGAGATTTCAATAGCCATAGCTGTGTCTGGGGCTATGATGAAGATGATAGGAATGGTGAAGCAGTTCTAATATGGGCCGACAACAGTAAAATGAGCCTTCTCCATGAAAGTAAATTACCACCATCATTTAATAGTGGCTGATGGAAGCGTGGTTATAACCCTGACCTGATTTTTATAAATGACAGCATAGTCCACCAATGCATTAAAAGGGTATTAAACCCAATACCAGGATTATGGCGCAGCTGGCTGAGTGTCAGCTGCATTACGATCACTCTGACCAAAAAGGTCATGAGTTCGAAGCCAGCCCAGGTTGGAGTGGGTTTCCAACCAATTGTGTAGCCTGTTGTCGACCTTTGCAACCCGAAAGACAGTTGCATCTGTCAAGTAGGAAAATTAGGTACCACCTTAAAGTGTGGGGAGGCTAAATTAACTAATTTATGAGGCCATAAAGAAGACTCCAGCAAAGCATTCCAGCAGGGAAGCATGCGGGGAATGCAGAAGTACTTCATCAGCGTCGCAGATGGACGATGAAAGCGACAGCTCCCCTGGCGGCCAGAAAAAGTTAAATAGCCTCTGTGTATGTCTGTATATGTTTGTATGTCAAAAATTGGCATTGAATATTTGCCATATACGTATACACTGTAATCCGCCCTGAGTCCCCTGCGGGGTGAGAAGGGCAGAATATAAAAGCTGTAAATAAATAAATAAATAAATACCTAATACTTAACATAGACCAATATGCTGCCAAGCAAATGCAGCTGTAAGACCACAAAATATCCTTTTCCGCAGAAGATATAATTTCAATAAAACTAACTGGACGAAGTTTACAGAGAACTTGGAAGCAGCTATTTCTGATATAGAACCATCTATAGAAGGCCTATAGAAGTACTTTGGCCACATCATGAGGAGACAGCAAAGCCTGGAGAAGACAATTATGCTGGGGAAAGTGGAAGGTAAAAGGAAGAGGGGCCAGCCAAGGGCAAGATGGATGGATGGCATCCTTGAAGTGAGTGGACTGACCTTGAAGGAGCTGGGGGTGGTGACGGCTGACAGGGAGCTCTGGCGTGGGCTGGTCCGTGAGGTCGGAGACAACTGAACGAATGAACAACAACATAGAAGGCCATGACCTTTTTGTAGAAGCTGTGGAAAGATCCTTGAGGCTCTCAATCCTTAGAGGCACAAGCTACCTACCAGGCATAGATGAAGAATCGCAAAACCAACTACAAGAATATCTCAGACTATTTCAAGATAATCCATACAGCAATGAAACTACAGGTGCAGACCAAAAATTATCTATAGCTATAGCTAATGCTAAAAAAGACCGCTGGATAGAACTGCTTGAGAATCTTGATATGTCTAAGAGTAGCTGAAGAGCCTGGCAATTGCTGATACGCATGGATAGTGACCCTCTGGTCAACTGTGGACATGCAAATGTAACACCAGACCAGAAAGCACACCAGTTAATTCAGAATGGGAAAACCAACTGCAGCAAAGTAAAAGTGAAAATCACTTGATTTTCTATTGCCCGTTTTTGGTCAAAAGATATTTAGCCGCTTGTGCTCCTTCTATTTTTATCAGTTTTATACTAATGTATGCAATGCTTTTGATACGAAATAAATAAATAAAGGCCAATGGGACTTGTAGATCACGTTACTGTGAAGGCTGTGTTAAATGAGGAAAGGAAAGCCTTAGACCCTTACTTGACTGAAGATTTGCCAGAAACAGCTCTCCGCTCTTCTTTCGGGAAGGTGACTAGTACTGAGGGCTGCTTCTTGTTGCTCTGAGCATTGGGGGCCATTGTAGAAGATTGGCTGTCACTTTTGTGGCTGCTGTTACTGTTGCTGCTTTCATCACTACAGCTGGAAATCCTCATGTTGTCGCTATCACCACTCTCACTGGTACTGCTGCTTTTTGATTCACCATTCATTTTCTCTGGTTGAGGGTAGGAGATTGGGAGTTGCTCATCAAAAATAATCTGAACAGAATCTTGGTTGATTTTGTTTTTCCGGCTTTTCCTCTTGGAGCTGCTAGTGGTGACAGTATTGATTCTTTTCCCATGGGAACCTGCCAAAGTTGTCCATGTCGCAGATATACCTATTGTGGTGATGGTGGTAGCACTGGGTGGTTCTGTGAGGACCTCTGCTTCATCTATTTGAGAAAAATATTTCTATTATATTGCTGGTACACACAAACCTACAGGAGTCGCTTAAGGAGTAGTGGCATCCCATAAACTTAAATCATATGTCAATATCTATTTGTAGGATACACAGGGCATAAAAGCATGCAGTTCCATTCCACCTCTAACAGCAGTGTATTTTAACACAAACATGATACACAATCATCCAAACAAACAGTACACTTGGCTTCAGAGACTGACGGTGAAGGCCTAATTTACTAGGCTTTGCAAACAACTCACATTATATTAAAACCCTCATCTGGGGAAAAACCCTTGAGCCCTGTACTTGGGCTTAAGTCCAAGGTGCCAAGTAGGAAGATAACTGTATGTTGCCCCTCTTGACATACATAACTCTAGGCAAGATGCAAGCAGAAGCAGAATAACATTCTAATAAATTCCAGCTGTAGGTAAAAATAAAAAGTTTCCATGAGAGGATTTAGAAAGACAAAATGTGTGAGGAACCTGTGGACAAAAGCATTTTATACTTAAGAATATTGTGGCACCTTAAAAGTAAAACTTTGAGGCTATTTGTTTATACAAACACACTTACATAAACAGAAAGGATTATTTGCAAAAGGATGACAACAGACTTCTTTGGGCAGGTGTGTTACCATGTATTCACATTATGAAATCTGGCGAGCTAGAGACTGAGACGAATTATATCTGTCCTATGTAAATTCCCAAGTTGATCTCAAAAGTGGTGATTAGTCTAGGAGATTCCGACAAAAAGTGTAACATAAGTGGTGGTAAAAATAATTTCTCTGCTGCCAAAATAAATTAGATAATGACTTATACATATATATAATAACTGGATTTGTGTTATGGCCAAATTATTACTATTTAGGTTATTTTAAGTTTTAGGCAACATCTTCATTTTCTATTATCATTTTACAGATGACAGGATAAGAAAGTGGGATATTAGAAAATATATGTATCCTGTAGTGAAATGGCAACAATATTTAATCTATATAAATAAAAATGTAATGTTCGTTTGTGGTATTCACAGAACTCAAAAACCGCTGGGAAAATTGACACCAAATTTGGACACAAGACACCTAACAACCCAATGTATGTCCTTCACTCAAAAAAATTATTTTAACATTTGGGAGTAGTAGTTGCTGGAATTTATAGTTCACCTACAATCAAAGAGCATTCTGAACTCAACCAATGGTGGAATTGAATCAAACTTGGCACACAGGACTCCCGTGACCAACAGAAAACACTAGAAAGGTTTGGTGGGCATTGATGTTGAGTTTGGCAGTTGTCGTTCACCTACATCCAGAGAACACTGTGGACACAAACAATGATGGATCTGGACCAAACTCTACCCAAATACTCAATATGCCCAAATGTGAACATTGGTGGAGTTTGGGGAAAATGGAATCTTGACATTTGGGAGTTGTAGTTGCTGGGATTTATAGTTCACCTACAATCACAGAGTATTCTGAACCCCACCAACGATAGAACTCGGCCAAACCCACACAGAACCCCCATGTGGGCCACAGCAACGCGTGGCAGGGGATGGCTAGTTTTGTAATAATGGCTGTTGTTCATTCTGGAAATCTCAATAACTATCTGGAACTGAGAAAGACAAATTGCTAATTTCATTAGTTATGACATTTACTTTGCAAGAATACCTCAGTTAACAAAGCCTCTATGAAAGAAGCTTATTTTTACAATGTGTTTAATGTCTGCCTAGTCTTCCATTTCCTCTTTGTACTCTGTCTAGCTAAGATTTTTAGCAGTATCAGCCCTGGGAGAATAGTGAAGAAGATCTAAAAATACGTAAAGTTTTAGTGTTGGGTTGCAGAAACAATGTTCATAGTAAACAATCCTTTGAAGCTTGAGAGGAGAAAGAGCAAGTTCTGTTCTAGCCAATGCAAAACTGTATGCCTCCTGACAATAGGAAAGGTAAACCGAACCTTTTTTTAGAATGTCTTAGTCAGCATCCATGAACAGCAGAACAGGCATAAAAGGTGATTAATGACCAGTTTAAAGATAATTTTGTTTAAGAGCAAAACACAGATGCTGAGAATGGAAGACCAGAAATGTTTGTGCCCTGCAACTCACTCTGAGTCTGGGTTGTTGTAGGTTTTTCAGGTTGTATGGCCATGTTTTAGAAGCATTCTCTCCTATGGCCATACAACCCAAAAAACCTACAACAACCCAGTGATTCCGGCCATGAAAGCCTTCGACAATACATTAGTCTACAGCATACAAGCCTAATTCTTACCTTCAGCTTTCAGTTTTTCCTTTTCTTGAGCAGCTTGTAGTTCAAAATTTTCTTTGTTTTTTGCCTCTATTTCTTCCAGCTTCCTCCTCTGTTCTTCCTTTTTCTTTCTTCTCTTCTCCTTTCTTTTCTCTCTTTTTGCAGCAAGAGCCAGCCTTCTACTTTCTTCTCGTAGCTGCAAGTTAAGATCAATAAAAGACAATCAAAAGTGGCTACGAAACAGCAACTTTTATAGGTAAGTCCATTCCTGACTGGGCCTTTCATTAAACTAAGAATAATCAATCCAAGTTGACTGCTTATATGAACATTCAGTGTTTTTGTTGCGTGATTTATATGATTTGTATTTTATTGATTGTTTATTGATGTTGTGTTATTGATGTTTATTTGATGTACTTTGGCCTCGGCCTCATGTAAGCCGCACCGAGTCCCTTGGGGAGATGGTAGGGGGGTACAAATAAAGTTTATTATTATAATATTATTATCATGTTATTGCTGTTGGTTTTGACGCCAGTTTTATATTTCATTTAATGTTGTTTATGTTGTTTTAAATTGCTGTTGATGCACTTTGATGTGCTATGCTTTAACTTTGTTATTGGGCTTGGCCTCATGTAAGCCATCCCGAGTTCCTTTGGGGAGATGGAGGCGGGGTATGAAAATAAAGTTAGTATTATTATAATTTTGTCTAAGGCTATTTAGATTAATATATTTTAGGCAACACTGCCTACCAGAACAGAGGAGTGATCCATTGGCTCACATATCTTATGTGATTTGCTAAATATTTTCTTATTCAGTAGGACTACAGTAAGGAGAGGTTCAGAACTGGGTTTCTTTGCAGATCTCTCTGCATATGTGTTGCCTTTGGCAACTTGAAAAACAAGTGATTTAAAACAGAAATGACAAATGATTATGCATTCCCTTTCTTAGTAATTTCAGGGGCATTTCCTCTTGGTAGGAAGTACAATCCTTTTTTAAACATTTCCAAAGGGCTTGGTGTCTAATAGCTTCTAGATGAAGCCTAGGAAAGTTCCTTTCCCAAGATAAATACAGTCATGGGAACATCAATGATGGAAAATATCCAACTATGAAACAAAAGTACAGAAGCAAATTGGAAAAGAAAATTGGTCTTAAAATGTCTAAGCCTGAAATTGGAAATTTGCAGACATTCTCATAATGCAAAATGCTGACTGGTTTTGTCCTGCTCTAATAGGTATGTGTTTTCATCAGGGTGCAAAGAATGCTCCACTCTAAAATTAGTGATAACAGAAAATCAGTGTTCACATTATCCAGTTATTTGGAGTCGGACAGTTCTTAAAAAGCAGTTCATCTCAAATGGAGGCAGAATAAGTGTCCTAATTTAACAGCTACAGAGAACAAGTATGACAAAAAGCCACATCAGTCTAAGAGAAAACTACACTTGAAATTACGTTCTGAAATGTTCTGTATTTCGATGTTTGGTTAAATATAACAATTTGGGTAGCTGCTTCATCTCAAAGTATACTAAGCCCCTTGGTCACAAAATAAACAGGGCTTACTGGAAATTAGTGGTTCTCCTTCATGATCACCAATGCTTTGTCTGGGTTTTTTTGTTTGTTTCCATTTGTATGAGATTCAGTGCTTATCCAAACTGTTTGGAGTTACTGAAACAAACCTTGGCTAGACAGAATTAGCAATACAAACCAATTTCCTGGTAACACAACCAAGTATTTTTCCATGCTGCTGCCTAGGCCATAACACTGGTCCTAAGGAAAGAACTTGGACCTAAACCAGAGAGGCAGCAGCAGCTAGCTTAGTCACCACTTTACTGAGAGTCCAGTGGCTTCTGATCTATCCGAAAAATAGAACATTCATTGGGTAAGAATTTTGTTTCTGTTTCAAACAAGAAGCCATCCATGGAAACGTCATATTAAAAAAACAGTATATTCCTAAGAAGATCAAAAATCCTCCTTTCTGAAATACCTTGGTAGCCAGTGAGTGCTAATTCTAAAAGATTGTGGAGGAAATCCTTTGGCCAAAAGCAGATGAAGATGTTAGCTGTGAATTGGATCCTGTTTCAGGGAACAATTTTTTCACTCAATACCAACACTGGCACTCCAATTATGGTTATGCCTATGCTATTCACCAGAAGGTCCTTTGAAGAAGAAGAAGAACAACAACTTTATTTTTCTACCCCGCCTCCATCTCCCCGAAGGGACTCGGGGCGGCTGACATGGGGCCAACAAGCCCAAGGCAACATACAATAAAAAACAGAACAATAACATGTTGAAGTAGCATAAAAACAGCATAAACAATAATAAACAAGCATCAAAAGCAACAACAGACTCATTTTTGGAGGGGAGGGAGGGGGCCAATATGGGAATCTCATTAAAGGATAGGGTGGTCAATAAAGTGGATAGAAACGTATAGCGACATAGGAATAATAGCATAGAAATAGAGCAACTAAACAGGATCAGTTCAGCTTAACTTAAAAATGTAGTAATGAAATATAGGAATTTGGATTCAGGTCGTGATTCAGATCATCTGTCGCAAGAGACATCAATCGAATGCACAACGAAACATCCATGTCTTTAATTCCTTACGGAATGTGGGTAAGGAGGGTGCTAGCCTAATCTCCCTAGGGAGGGGGTTCCAGAGATGAGGGGCCACCACTGAGAATGCCCTTTCTCTCGTCCTCACCAGCCGCGCCTGAGACTGGGGCGGGAGCGAGAGAAGAGCATTCCCGGAAGATCTTAAGGAGTGCGTGGGCTCATAGGGGAGGATGCAATCACAAAGATAGGCAGGTCCTGAACCATTTAGAGCTTTATAAGTTATAACCTGCACCTTGAATTGGAACTGGAAACTTATCGGTAGCCAGTGGAGCTGTTTAAACAGTGGGGTTGACCACTCCCTGTAACTTGCTCCAATTAACAATTTGGCTGCCAACCTTTGCACCAGCTGTAGTTTCTGAACCTTCTTCAAGGGCAGTCCTACGTAGAGTGCATTACAGTAGTCCAATCTTGAGGTAACTAAGGCATGGACCACCATGGTCAAGTCAGACTTCTCGAGGTACGGTCGCAGCTGGCGCACAAGTTTTCAACTGTGCAAAGGCACTCCTGGTCACCGCCAACACCTGAGCATCAAGCGTCAGACTGAGTCCAGGAGAGCCCCAAACTGCGGACCTGTGTCTTCAAGGGGAGTGTAACCCTGTCAAACACAGGTTGCCACCCTATACCCTGTTCGGCCGAATGACTGACCTGGTCCTCTGTCTTGTCAAGATTCAATTTCAACCTGTTGGCCCTCATCCAGCCCATCACAGCAGTCAGGCACTGGTCCAGGACCCGAGGGGCTTCCTTGGATTTTGGTGGAGTAATAGAGTTGTGTGTCATCTGCATAGAGATGACAATGGATGACCTCTCCCAACTGTTTCATGTAGATATTAAAAAGCATGGAGGAAATAATAGAACCTTGCAGGACCCCACAGGTCAAAGGCCAGGGGTCCGAGCAGGTATCCCCCAACTTCACCAATTGGGTGAGGCCCTCCAGAAAGGAACGGAGTCACTGCAATGAAGTACCCCCAAGACCTATTCCAGAGAGCCATCCCAATGGTATCGAAAGCCGCTGAGATGTCCAAGAGAACCAACAAGGTCACACTCCCCCCGTCAAGTTCTCTGCGGAGGTCATCCACTAAGGTGACCAAAGCCATCTCAGTATCGTGACCAGGCCTGAAACCAGACTGAGATGGGTCCAGAAAATTGGTTTTGTCCAGCAATCCCTGGAGCTGAGAAGCAACCACTCGCTCCAGAACCTTGCCCAAAAAGGGGAGATTTGAGATTGGCTGATATTTGTTCAATATTGATGAACCAAGAGACGCCTTTTTTAAAAGCAAAAGGGCTGTGAAGATCCCTTACCTTGCCAGCTGGGGGGTGGCAGGGCCTAGGAAGAGACAGGCTACGTAGTTTCAGCTTGGTAGGCCTGGCAGAGAGCTGCAGGAGCCATCTTAGTTTAGGGAAGACTCCAGTTTAGTGAGGGGGAGTGGCCTAGGCCTGAGCCAGCCCAGCAACAGCCAGGATTGGTTGGAAAAGGGGGGCGGAGTTAGCCAGTTGGAGGGAAAGAGAGCAGCTTATTTTGACAGGGGAGTTCAGTTCTGGGTGATGTTAGAGTAGGCTGAGAGTTTTAGGAGTCTCTGTTAGGAATAGGCAGCTTGCCTGTAGTTTGCACAGCAAAATAGGCTGTGGCAGACTGGTTACAGCTATTTTTAGAGAAGAAATAGCTGGGTTTTGTTTAGGAATTGTAACAAAGAATAGAACCATTCTCTCAAGCAACTGTTACGCTTCTAAGACCCAAGAACACTTTAATTGTAACAGCCAAGCCTCTGAACCTGCATTCACTTTTATTCTGTAACTTGTATTCAATAAACTCTTTCTTGTTATTTTTAAAATTTAAGCCTGAGTCAAGTGCCATTTTTGGTTTGAGTCCCTTTCCTTTGTGAATCAACCTCTCCTGTTTCCCTTCAAAGAAGCCCTTGGTAATATACAGTACTTGGTGGTCCTAGAAAAGCCTTTTAACATTCTAAATAGCCAGAGGGTTCCTGATTCTTCAGTTTATGGTGGCAGCGAAGGTTTTAATAAAGAGACATCTCCTCAAACGCTATAGGGGCCAAAGTGGTGTGAATTCCTTATTAAAGGAGGGACAGTGTTGGGATCTGTTTGCCCCCTGCCCAGACGGCCAATTAAGGAGTTATTATAATTGGTGGCAGCGGTGGGATTCGTTTACCCCCCCCTGCCCAAAATAGCATAAAGGAGTTTTTATAAGGGCCATGCCATAGGAGATACTTTTCTGATAATGATTACATGATTTCTTAACCCAAGGCTTCTATAATTTTCATTTTTAACCCAGACATAATTTTTCATCAAAAAGTTATTTCTTACCTTCTCTAAATCCAACTCCTCTAAAAGAATGCTTGCATTTTTATTTGCTTCAGCAGCCTGTCTGTCTTTGGCTTGAACAATTGATTCTATACAAAGATGGCACTTCTTCAACATTTCCTAAAATAACAAAATGTTTTAAAAAGCATATTTTTGAATGAAATGACTATAATCAAAGATGTAAATGTATCACTTGGCTCTTTTGACATTGAGAGAAAGACAGTTTTACTATAAGGTTTTGTGGACTCCAGTCCACTTCATTGAGTGATGCCTCTGTGTGTTATGATGGAGTCACAAGTTCAATCTCAATGATGAAGGTACTTTTAGTAGCTGTGATGACAAATAGTGTTTCAACATGTGTGGTGTGCCAAGAACCCATTTCTGAGCATACTGCACATATGAAAATTCTAGTTAACATTGGAGCTACAAAGTAAGATTCACGTGTGCTTTATTACAATACTTTTACTGGACTTCGACCTGTACTGATGCATGAGACACAGACCTTTCCTCTCTATTCATATGTTTAATCATCACTGAAATAGAACTATTGTTACTCCGGGTTGTTGTAGGTTTTTTCGGGCATATGGCCATGTTCTAGAGGCATTCTCTCCTGACGTTTCATCTGCATCTATGGCAAGCATCCTCAGAGGTAGTGAGGTATGTTGGAACTAGGAAAAATTGGGTTTATATATCTGTTGAATCACCAGGGTGAAACAAAGAATCAATCAAGGTGGTCAGTTGAAATATTCACACCTAGCTCCAGCAGACAAGAGCTCTTTGTCCCACCCTGGTCATTCCACAGATATATAAACCCAGTTTTTCTAGTTTCCAACAGACCTCACAACCTCTGAGGATGCTTGCCATAGATGCAGGTGAAACGTCAGGAGAGAATGCTTCTAGACCATGGCCATATACAAAAAACCTACAACAACCCAGTGATTCCGGCCATGAAAGCCTTCGACAATACACTTTTATACACTTTTCAGGTTCAAAATCATTGAACATCTCTACTGGGAGAAACTGTTCCAAGCCTAGTTCCAACAGACCTCATAACCTCTGAGGATGCCTGCCACAGATGCAGGCGAAACGTCAGGAGAGAATGCTTCTAGAACATGGCCATACAGCCCGAAAATCCTACAACAACCCAGTGATTCCAGCCATGACAATACATTGAAGCTGAGAGAGTTGGCCACTCCACTGATTGACAGGCGAAACGCCCGCACCCTGGTCATTCCACAGATATATAAACCCCTTTTCCTAGTTCAAGCAGACCTCACTACCTCTGAGGATGCTTGCCATAGATGCAGGCGAAACGTCAGGAGAGAATGCCTCTAGAACATGGCCACATAGCCCAAAAAAACCTACAACAACCCAGTGATTCTGGCCATGAAAGCCTTCGACAATATATTGTTACTCCATCACCATACCCACATATCTTGCCTTTCTATTACAGTACTCCTCATCTGGATGTGTGTATATACATGTGTGTGTGTGTGTCCAAAGAAGCTTGACTCTATACACCTGATTAAGTGACATGGTGTCCATGAAACATTATATTGCAAATTTTGCTTTCTCCATTAATTTGAAATGTATCATGTATCTTTTAATGCTGAAACAGATTAATATGGCTTTGAATAGTACATTAACACAACCAATTGAACAAGTAACAGACTTAAGAACTCTGCAATAAAATTATATAGAATGATGTGAGCTCTTTATGATTCCAAATGTAGCAGGTAAGAGTTCAAACATCCATAAACTGGATTCCAAGACTCTGATACTAGTAGATGATTAACTGCTAATAATTGTAGGTTCATTGTGTAAGGGGATATGTATGTGTGTGGCAAAGGGAAAAACAAACAAGAGAGCACATAAGGCGAAGTTTCTACATTAGAGTGTTAAGGGGGTTATACTTTTAGGAGGGGTTATACTGGACATGGGAAGGAGATGGGATGGATAGGAAAGTATTGTGATCAAAGGCTTCAAGATATAACATAGGGGTCCTCAAACTAAGGCCCGGGGGCCGGATATGGCCCTCCAAGGTCATTTACCCGGCCCTCGCTCAGGGTCAACCTAAGTCTGAAACGACTTGAAAGCACAGAACAACAACACAATCCTATCTCATCATCCAAAAGCAGGCCCACACTTCCCGTTGAAATACTAATAAATTTATATTTATTAAAATTGTTCTTCATTTTAATTATTATATTGTTATATCGAAGTGTTTTTTGCACTACAAATAAGATATGTGCAGTGTGCTTAGGAATTCATTCACTTTTTTTCAAATTATAATCTGGCCCTCCAACAGTTTGAGGGACTGTGACATGGCCCTCTGTTTAAAAAGTTTGAGGACCCCTGATATAACACAACAGGATTTAAGATGTGCTTTTTAAAAAAGGTTTTAATTGGTTTCAAAATAATGATGAGCTTCAGCAACTCAACAGTTCTATTTCTGATATTCATTTGAAGCCATTGTCAATGATCTAGTAACACCTAACCTATTTAAAGTTGAGAACTGCAGGATTTTAATAAACAGCTATTGAGATTTTATAAATGTACAATAAAACATGTGTTCTCTGAACCTTTACTAAAGAACGAGGAACCAAATGATTCTTACCTTGTCAGTAACTGTTGCTATATATCTCATACATTCTGAATCTGATGGGAATTGATTTACCTCTTTTACAAGATAGCGTACAACCTTCACATGACCCTAAGAATTAAGTTTGCAGCATTAGTCCCTTTCAAATGAAGACAGATTGCACATTTATATTCATCCATGATAAGTACCAGACCTATAAGTAAATTGGCCAAAAGGTCCTCCTAGTCAATCAGCTGCAATGCTGATTTCCCCAAAGATCCCCAATTAGTACAGAAGCATGTCAATAAAGCAGATCTGTACATCTGGGGAAGATCAACTGTTATCCTCTTTGGGTAACTCATTCTATGGGAAGCTGAGTGAGCCCAAAGATTTTCACTCGATTTGGTGATTTCATAACTCAATGCAGAATTAACTGTTAGTAGTGAAGCCAGTTTCCACACTTACACTGTCTTACATTGATAGTCCATTTGGCGAGTGTTTGTGAAAGCGTTTTTTGCAGTCCAAAAAGTATGTCTAGGGTTGCACCTGGGATTTCCTGTCTGTAAAGCAGGTGCTTTACTACAAAAAAACATTGGTTCCTAGAATCTGAACTGTCCAATTATTATATTATCACTATGTTATCTCTAGAAGACAAGTATCTATGAATATCACGATATTTTACATTATTTAAATCTGTAACATAACATTCTTACATGGGCTTCATGTGGGGAACAATATCACAAAGTTAGAATAAAATCATATAAAACAATAATAATAATAATAATAATAATAATACTTTATTTATACCCCATTCCATCTCCCCCAGGGGGACTCGGTGTGGCTTACATGAAGCCATGCCCATCAGTACTGTACACACAATATAACACAAAAGCATAACAAAATCAGAAAGTAAAATACATAAAATGCACAACCAATATAAGAAGCAACACAATATAAAATCAAACATTAAAACACGAAAGATTTCACTGGGCAGGGCCAAATTCAAAGATAAAATTTTAAAACACTGGGAGATAGGACAATGTAAACTATCGGGGAGGAGGATCCGAGGATGAGGAAGGATTTAATTGCATAAGGCTATCTGCTCAATTAGTCTCATTGGTTTCATGAGTTAATAACATGGAAGCCTAGGAAATGGCAAACATTCTTTGTTCTGTTTGTTTGAAGCACAATTTTGTTGCAATACATCAAAACCATGTACTTCTTCAGGACTGTAATTCTATAATTAGTTACATGCCATTAAGCCCTACTAAACCTCATGGAATTTATTTCTGAATAGTCTGGAATGAAAATACATAGTAAGTCTACTTGGAATTTAAAATGTCTTTATTTATGATGATTCTATAGACAAAGTTTTTAATATGAAGACATAAAACAGATCAAACTAGTCAACTATTGCAAAACAGGATTGGATCTGATTAAGAAAACAACTACTGATTTCATTTAGCGACCTTCCTCCATTTTTCTTATCCTGTATACTTTTAAAATTTTGAATCAAATAAATTCCGCCACATGACACTAGCAAAATATCAAATAGCATCTTTTCAAAAGATCAACAAATTAGTTCTCTGTAACTCAAGCAACAATAAATTTTCAGAAATAAGAAAAGAGATGAACCAAGTTTCCATTCTACCTTTCTAAAGGCTGCCATGAGTGGTGTTATTTTTCTGTTATCGGCCGCGTCGACATCTGCTCCTGCTTGTACCAGCAACTGGACAACATCTAAATGACCGCCATTTGCAGCAAGCCATAATGGAGTATTTCCTTTTTTATTACGAACATCAATGTGAGCTCCTCTACAAAAGGAAACAAGCTTGATCAAAGTAATGGACATATACGTCAAGATGCTATCGATTCTCAAAAGCTAAAAATTTGTCAAAAACCATTATCCAGAGAAGGGTGGGTTATAAATTAAATAAATAAATATTCTAGATGTAAGGAATGATTTTAATTGAAGGACAAAAGGATGACATTAGCAGCTTTCCTTCTCTCTTAGCAGTTTATTCTGCTAAGAAATGGGTAACCCAAACCCTTTGCAGAAATATGAAACTGTATTTTGTAAAGAAGCACATATATGTTACCTGCTAATAAGAAGCTCACAGAATTTGTAGTGGCCTTTGTCTGCTGCAATGGTTAAAGCTGTGTCTCTTGACGAAGGAACTGGAGGGGCATTCACATCAGCACCTTTGTCTAGAAGAACCCTGCCTACTTCAGCATATCCACCAGAGGCAGCTTCCATTAATGGTGTCAGGCCAGTCTAGAAAAAGAACAACATTAAAGACACTTTCTCAGTTGAAATATGAGGTTCAGTGTATTACTGTCCCATCAGCTCAGAAAACAGTCCCCCATTGTAAGCATAAAAAGGAAAGAAAAGAACAAATAAGTATCTCTGACTCCATTCCAAACATCCCAAATCTGAACTCATTAAATTCTTAAGACCAGTTGTGTTCAAAAGCACTCTGGGGAATTTCAAAAGTGTAAAAATTACAAATAAAGGTAAGAGGAAGATTCCTCACCTTAGCTCTGTGCTCAACATTCGCCTTTCTATCAAGAAGAAGGCTAACCACTTCCGTTCTTCCTTGGAAGCAGGCCAGCGTCAAGGCAGTGTTCCTATTAGTCTCTATTTGTGCATTAATATCCGAACCCATATCCAAGAGCAGCTTGACAGCAGCTGTATGGCCATTCATGGCTGCCAACATTAATGGAGAAATACCCAGCTTGCTCCCAGTTCTGAAAACAAATAAACATGCACTACATATTAATTTTGTAATTAATTACCCCCACTTTTGTTGTGTGCCTACAAATAGTTTTCAATTTATGGCAACCTTAAGGCAACTCTTATCAAATTTTTCTTGGCAAGATTTGCTCAAAGTGTGTTTGCCTTGCCTTCTTAGGCAGCTGGGGGGGGGGGGGGGGGAGTGAATGTCAAATATGAGCCTATGAGTGCAACCATCTTATCTACCAACAGACCAAATGGTGGTGGATTCAGAGGCTATATGCCTGCACTGGCAATTATACAAAGGGAGAATTTGAAAAGTAACAGACAACAGTTTAAAAAAAAATAAAGTTAAAGTTCTGAAGGATCAAATAGAATAAAATCCAAGAAATTAGTAAATGTCAATATCTGTCATGCACTCCATTTTAAGCAACTGATCATTTAAGAATCTTACATTATGCATTCCTAAGAAAACTGGGCCACAAACTCATTGGCCATATAGAAAGCAGACAGTGACCAACCTCTTGCCAAAGAATGTTTTTTAATTAGGCAAAAAGGTGAATGTGTTTATTAGGGTAAGAGATTATTTGGCATATTCATTGTTAACCTCCCACCTTCCCTCAACAAAAGAGGAGGGACCACATGTTTGGAACTGAGGTATTATGTCAAGGGAGGAATAAATGTAAATTTCAGAAAAAGGACTTGAGCCTGAAACAACTGGCTCATACATTCTAACGCCAAAACAATCACAAACTATAAGGGGGAAAGTTGGTTGGCAATAGCAAGAGAAGATACATCACACCCCAATTATTTTAGCTGAATGAACAAGCAGCTTTCTTTAGAATATAGAAATAATACAGCAGAAGTGTAAAAACAGAACTTGCCGTGAATTGATTTCTGCACCAGCATTCAGCAGTATTTTGATGATGTTCACATAACCACCAGAAGCAGCTAAACTTAGAGGTGTGTAGTCAGAAACATTTCTATGCTCTTTGTTTGCACCTCGAGCTAGGAGAAGCTCCACAACCTGAATTATATATATATAAAGTTACTACAAGAAATGCCCGTCTTCTAGTCCTAAATACATCATGTGCACCCCCAATGCTAGCCCCAAGTTAGTTAGACTAGAAAGGAATGCTTATTGCCATTTCATATAGTTGTTCCCACATCTTCACAGGTAACAGACACCATTTTGTATATCTTATATTATCTGTAACATAGTTACAGATAATGCTATGAAGTGCAAGTTTTATCATGATAACAATATAACATCCATAACATACAGAGAGCTGTCTCACGATATTGCAAAATCTAAATAAAACCTCAATATGATTTGGCCTGGAGACTGAAAAACAGGTATCTTTAAAAAAAAACAACAACTTTATTTATATACTGCTCCATCTTTCCGAGATATGTTTTATTATATTATTATTATTATTATTATTATTATTATTATTATTATTATTATTGGAAGCAGTTATGAATAATAATAATAATAATAATAATAATAATAATAAAGTAATAACATAATCATTGGGTTGTTGTAGTTTTTTTGGGCTATATGGCCATGGTCTAGAGGCATTCTCTCCTGATGTTTCGCCTGCATCTATGGCAAGCATCCTCAGAGATAGTGAGGTCTGTTGGAACTAGGAAAAAAGATTTATATATCTGTGGAATGACCACGGTGGGACAAAGTCCTCTTGTCTGCTGGAGCTAGGGGTCAATGTTTCAACTGACCACCTTGATTAGCATATAATAGCCTGACAGTGCCTGGAACAAACTTTTGTTGAGAAGTGATTGGATGTCCTTGTTTGTTTCCTCTCTGTTGTTGTGCTGTTGTAATTTTAGACATTGTATGCTAATCAAGGTGGTCAGTTGAAACCACACCTAGCTCCAGCGGACAAATGTCCTTTGTCCTACCCTGGTCATTCCACAGATATATAAACCCTTTTTCCTAGTTCCAACAGACCTCACTACCTCTGAGGATGCTTGCCATAGATGCAGGCGAAACGTCAGGGGAGAATGCCTCTCAGAGGTGCTGTTGTACTTCTGAGGATGCTTGCCATAGATGCAGGCGAAACGTCAGGAGAGAATGCCTCTAGACCATGGCCATACAGCCCGAAAAAACCTACAACACAGTGATTCCAGCCATGAAAGCCTTCGACAAAACATAAATATTACTTAAACATCTTCAGCCATCTGTAATAAATGATACTGAACTCCATTTGTTCAAATGGAGTTCAATAGAATATCCCCTTAATCTGCAGACTTTTCCCTTAATCTCCTAAAATATGCCTTGACAAGCAACCACAGGTTGCAACACATTAGCTGTTAAATATCATCTTTCTGCATCTTGAGCCATGTCTCTGCTTTCTCATGGGTTTTGTTGGGACTCTTTTTAGTTCTTCCGTCCATGCTATATAATAGTACAAGTCTATTTTTATGGTTATAAATACCACCAGAACCAACATCAGCTGCACTATGCATCTCAATATCAGCTGATGGAGTAGGGAAGACGGATGCATAGACCTACAGCAGTCATGTCCAACTGTGGGCTTCCCATAGTCATCTTATTGGTCACTGCTGAAACAGGTCTTTGTTTTGATCTAACACAGCTCATGATCTTAAATTAAGTTAACAAACCATTGCTAAGAATTAGAAGTCTACTGGTGATGTATCATTTTAGCACCCTGTTCGAACAGGTCCTAAATATACAAAAAGGACTATCCTAAATTCTCAAATCCTAAATGTGATAACTGAAAAAGATCCAATTAATTTCAGTGGAGCTTACTTTTACTGAACTAAGATACCACTCAGTTCTATCATCTACTGTATCCACAGAAAGACTTTTCCTTGAAATAGACTGATCAAACTCTCAAGGAACTTCTTTAGAATTTAGGATCAAAGTAGTAAATCGACTTTTATGATGTAGGTTTTATTTTCAGCTACTATGCCAAAGTCATACTTATTCCTTACCTCCTGTCTACCCCCAGAACAAGCTAAAGATAATGGTGTGTCCTTAGTTCTCTCAGACTGAGCTTCAATATCTGCACCATTGTCCAATAAGATTTCAACAACACCAACATGACCAGCGGTTGCAGCCAAAATAAGAGGAGTAAACCCTGGAAAAAAGGCAATATTAAATGTTTGTTTTTTGGTTGTTTTTTTTTTAAACAACACCTCTATCTCAAAAATTACTATCAACAGAAGAGATAAGAAATCTAATTACAGCACCCAGGATATGAAATTATATAATAACTTGTGTACATAGTTAACAGCTCAGGAAACATGGAAAGTATTCACAGAACAGATTTACTTACTGGTTAAAAACTTTTGCTTGTTTTTTTTTTAAACAGCCATGGGAGACACCCTTAAATTTACTGCTCAGAGAGTACATAAATATACAACTCAAAGAAAACTGGAATGAGTACCCATACTTAACCAGCAGGCACACACCTTTTTTGTCCCTGTGTTCTATATTTGCGCCTCTTTCCAGAAGTGTTTGTACCAGCTCTTCATGTCCACCAGCACAAGCGAGAGTCAATGCAGTGTCATGGTTACTTTCAGTCTAGAAAATATGTCATTAATATTCTCAATTACAAATCAAGATTGCTTGTAGCCTATAAGAAAATATATGTCATATACCAACTACAAACTTCATTATACTTGAGATTCAAATTGTTTATAATGAATGGCATGACCAATTAGTGGAACCAACACAGTCTCCACTGGAAAATCTTATTCTCTGCTGCTTTCTTCTGCCCCTAAAACCACCAGAAATGCCCAGGAGTACATAAGAACAGATAGTTCAAAACTGCCCATTTCTATTTTGAACCGGTTTTCCTTTCCATATACACATGAAAAGTCGTGGTTTATTCTTAGAGTGAATAAATACATCAGAAACTGAAGAAGCAGTATGGTCGCAGTTTCCTGTTCTAACCTTGTTTTGGCTCAAATCATATAATGGGAGACAATGTTTTGTTGAAAATAGGAATTAAGAATCATGTGAAGAAATCGAAAGTACACAAGGTCTTGGGCCACAACTGTTCACAGCACAAAATGATTACTAGTTTTTCACCTCAACTTGCCCACTGTCTTCAAGATTACTAACAGCAGAAAAAAAATGCCAAATCCTTCTTTGGTTTACTTTAGCACTGTGGCATCCAGAAATTACTTTGCTCAGAACTTGCTGTTCTTGATCAAGGACAAAGTCTTTAAGAACTGATTTCGTTAACAAGACACACATTCCATTTTTGTGGAATTAAAAAATGTTCTGAATTGATTTATGTTTTCTCCCTCATTCATCAAAGATCATAAGGAAATTAGGACTTATGTATAAAAGTGTAAGCAAAAGTTGTTGGAAATGTCAGGACCAGGAGAGCAGTTTTTTTCCACATGTGGAGGACTTGTAAAGAAGCCCAAAAATACTGGAAAGTGCAGTTTAGGAAAGTAGTCCCAAAAACTACTTGGAATTAAATTTGGAAGAAAAGCAGAATACTATCTCCTAGGCATTACAGACTCTGACTTAAATTTAGATCATAACAAAGATATTCTATTCAAATACATCTCCAGGGCGGCAAGAATTTCATATGTGAAGTCTTGGAAACTAAATAAAACTCCAGATAGGGAAGATTGGATAAGCATATTAAGAGAAATCAGAGACATGGACAAATTAACTTTTCTTTTGAAGTCGAATTCAGGAAGCCCAATAAGGAGGATGGACTGGACACTGTTTGATGTGTATGAAAAAGAAAAGAACTAGAAAGATAACTTTTAGAGGTGTCTCTCCAAACTATCTATCTATCTATCTATCTATCTATCTATCTATCTGTCTATCTATCTATCTATCTATCTATCTATCTATCCATCCATCCATCCATCCATCCATCCATCCATCCATCCATCTATCTATCTATCTATCTTCTCCTCTGTTTAGATCTTTAATAAAACTAGGAAGGTATAGATAAAGCACAGACTGGAAGTCAACGGAGATATTATTGTTGTTGTTGTTGTTATATTTCTTTTTCTTCTTCTTGGACGTTTGTCATTATCACTCTTGATTTATGACCATTTCATCTTCTCACAACTTATGACTTTTCTATAAAACGAATGTTCTCCTACTTTCTATATAACCCCCCTCCTCCCTTTTTTCTTTCTTTTTCTCTTTTACTATTGTTGATATATTAATAAAACATATTTTTAAAAAGATCATATAGAGAGAGAGAAGGAGAGAGAGAGAGAGAGAGAAAGAGAGCGCTACATGTATTTTACAAACCCACATACATCTAGTAATAAACCAAAGACATATCACATAAAATCAAAGGAATTATGTGTTCGAGTTCAAAGATAAACAGAAATTTAGTGTTTTTGTTCTGCGGCTTTAAAAAAAATCCCGAACATCTTCCACAGAAGTTAGAAGTTTTACGTTGGGCTCACCTGTGCATCAATATCTATGGCAGGGTATACTGGAAGCATGGCTGAAGGAGAAATGATGGGACTTGGTGCTGGCGTCTGAGGCTGAGAAACCGATGTTGCAATGTTGTGGGTGGGGGGGTTCGACACAGCAGATGCTCTTCCACTCACTGCTATTGAAGAAAATAACTGTGCTTATTAAAAGTAGAGTTAGCTGCAGTTTAGGAAAGTCCTCACATTTTTGTAAAATGTACTAAAAAACATCTGAAACAGCTTGTTAGGATACAAACTATATCCAAGATGAGGTATCCATTCTCCTTTCTTCTGGGGTTAAAAATGAAGCTAAAATGATTCAACTGCATGGGAAGATGGCTACATTACACCCAGATGAAAACAATTTGCAATTCAGTTTATATGAATTTGATTGCTGTTGGAAATGCATCTCCCTCTATGTACCATTGCGGAGATTAAGATCTTCCGGGGAGGCCCTGCTTTCCGTCCCGTCATTGTCACAGGGGCGTTTGGTGGGGACGAGAAACAGGGCCTTCTCAGTGATTGCCCCCCGGCTATGGAACTCCGTTCCTTGTGAGATCAGGTCGGCCCCCTCCCTCCTGTCCTTTAGAAGGATGGTAAAAACTTGGCTGTGGGACCAAGCTTTCGGGACAAGGCAATGAAGCGACAATGGGAAAGATGACAGGGCCAACTGGATTTGATGCAGATGGCTAGGACGGTTTTAAATTGTGTTATTTTTAAATGGTGTATTTTAATATTTAGATAAATGTTTTTTAATGTTTATGTATTGTACCCAGGCATTGAATGTTTGCCATGTATATGTTGTGCTGTGCTCTGAGTCCCCTTCGAGGTGAGAAGGGCGGAATATAAGTGTTTTAAATAAATAATAATAATAATAATAATTTACTGCCATATTTAATAAGATATATTGATAAATGGAAATTCTGAAATAAAATAAAGACAGGAATCATCATAAGACTATTGGGTAGCAAAAAAATGTTCAGGATTATTAGAACAAAAAAGCTATCCAGACTTTCACAAAGATTGCTGTCACCAAACAATAAGACAAAAAAAATCTCCATGCTCTGCCTGGGTATGTACATCAGGATATGCAAGTCATAGGAATTCCTTAATTTGGGAAGGTGTATTCAAAAAATCTAAGCCAATATCCACATAATGACATATTGATATAACTTTGTTAAATTTTATACTGGAGCTCCAATATACTTCTCTACCACAAAAAGTTATGGTGAAGGAGGAGAGGGTGGAGAGCAAAATCTAGGAATTTATTTAGATCCACCATCACCTCAGGAAAGAAAAAAAGCTCTTATTGTAAGTACCTTATTTAAGAGCCCTGAATTTAATTGCCTTTCGCAGGCTGAATAAAACATGTTGCATTAGCAAGCTGTGATCTACAATGCCTTGTATACTTTAATGATGGCCAAGTAGTTTTTACAGTACGTTATATTGCATATAATGAGTAGATGGAGCAGCTAAAATGAGGTGGAGAAGTAGTAGAGCATCCATGTAGGAAGGGTTTGCCAAACTTCTACTGAAACCAACAAATTTGCTCTGCAAACCTCTGGGCCAAAAAATGGGGTATAAGACATGCTCCACAAATGAACGAAACTAATTTGAGTGGGGGGAAAATCAGCCACTTTTCTCTGTTTGTTACTACAAGTAGAAAGTATCAATCAAATCTGTATGGTGAAAAGTTATTTTTAAAAAATAAATAAACAAAGGATTGTTGTAGGTTTTCCGGGCTATATGGCCATGTTCTAGAGGCATTTTCTCCTGACGTTTCGCCTGCATCTATGGCAAGCATCCTCAGAGGTAGTGAGGATGCTTGCCATAGATGCAGGCGAAACGTCAGGAGAAAATGCCTCTAGAACATGGACATATAGCCGGAAAACCTACAACAACCCAGTGATTCCGGCCATGAAAGCCTTCGACAATACATTAAATAAACAAAGTCGTAAATAGTCCAATATATCCTAGTGGACACTTGCCGGAGATTGAACAATCCTACGTATGCGGAGATTGAACAATCCTACGAAACTTGTCCTACGTGACAAGTTTGTGGCCTATTCCTTCAAGCAAAATAAAATAAAAATCCCTTGATTTTGGCATTTTATGAGGCATTCCAATTTAAATATCGATTCTACATCAAGCCTATCTATGCCAAAAGCGCAGTGGATGGAAAACAATCCCCCTTCCCTCAGAGTGCAAGATATGTGCACTGGAATTAGTGAATCAGTTATGATAGTTTCAGACTCATTCCGTTGAGGTGCATTGGTTTTTTTATTTTGTTTTTTTCAAAAGGAAGAAATTTATATTTCTTGCGCAAATTCTCTTCCCAGTTTTTTTCTAGTATAATTCAGATGTATTTGATCAATACAGTATTCCTCATGTATTTAGAAACTGGAAAAAGTACTCCAACCAAAAATACTAACAAAACAATTTAAAAAATAAATAAAATAAATTCATGAAGCTCAACCCAAAGTAAAGGATAGGTAAGATTACTGCAACGCTCTCTACGTGGGGTTGCCTCTGAAGACTGCCCGGAAGCTGCAGCAAGTACAATGCGCGGCAGCCAGATTACTAACGGGTGCGGGTACAGGGAGCACACCACTCCGCTGTTACTCGAACTCCACTGGCTGCCGATTAGCTTCCGAGCACAATTCAAAGTGCTGGTGTTAACCTATAAAGCCCTAAACGACTCCGGCCCTGTTTACCTCTCCGAACGTATTCTCCCCTACGAACCATCAAGACCACTAAGATTCGTCTGGAGGGGCCCTGCTCTCGGTCCCTCCGCCTGCACAAGCACGGCTGGTGGGGACGAGGACAGGGCCTTCTCGATGGTGGCCCCTCGACTTTGGAACTCCCTGCCATTAGAGATCAGAACTGCCCCCTCCCTCATGACGTTCAGGAAACTAACAAAGACCTGGTTGTGGAACGCGGCATTTGACAACTGATTTAATTCTTTGCCCACATGAAAGGAGGATGATGAATGGGATTGTGATGGTGTTGGACGATTTGGCTCTTTTAACTGGGATGATAATGTTTTAATGTGTATGGTGCTGATATTTTAATCGTGTAATGAAGTGGCATTGTGTTGTTATTGTATATTTTTGTATGTTAACACATGTTGTGAACCGGTCCGAATCCCTCTTTGAAGGTGAGAGGGTCGGTATATAAAACCTCGAAATAAATAAATAAATAAATAAATAATAAATAACCCAGTGACATTAAGTCCAGTCGTGTCTGACTCTGGGGGTTGGTGCTCATCTCCGTTTCTAAGTCGAAGAGCCGGAGTTGTCCGTAGACACCTCCTAGGTCATGCGGTCGGTATGATTGCATTGAGCATTGTTAAGTAAAGGACGTAATATTATTATCCAGGCAAAAACATCTCCCTTGGGACAAAATAATCACCACCTATATTTTCATGTCATGACTGCCAACCTTTTCCTTTGCCTATCTGCTGGAGACACCAATATTCTGTCCCAGTTCTATTAAAGTGCTGTTCTTTTTCACACTATTATTCAGGCGAAGCAGAATGCCATTTCCCAAAATACTAGCCTGTTTTAATAACCTTGTAGGCAATACTGCAATACAAATGAGAATGTTAGCTTCTGTTCTATTGCAGATGTTTGTTAATTTTAAATGAGAAAACAGGCCAAAATAACCCAGCATCTGTGCAGTGAAACAACAGTAAAGATGTATTGTCGAAGGCTTTCATGGCTGGAATCACCGGGTTGTTGTAGGTTTTTTTCGGGCTATATGGCCATGGTCTAGAGCAGTGGTTCTCAACCTTCCTAATGCCGCGACCCCTTAGTACAGTTCCTCATGTTGTGGTGACCCCCAATCCTAAAATTATTTTCATCGCTACTTCATAGCTGGAATTTTGCTACTGTTATGAATCATCATGTAAATATCTGATAGGCAGATGTATTTTCATTCTCTGGACCTTGGGAGTTGTAGTTGCTGGAATTTATAGTTCACCTACAATCAGTGCATTGTGAACTCCACCAGAGATGGAATTGACCCAAACTTGGCACACAGAATGCCCATGACCAACACAAAATAATGAAAGGGTTAGGTGAGCATTGGCCTTGAGTTTGGGAGTTGTAGTTCACCTATCTCCAGAAAGCACTGTGGACTCAAACAATGATAGATCTGGACTAAACTTGGCACGAATACTCAATATGCCCAAATGTGAACACTGGTGGAGTTTGGGGAAAATAGACCTTGACATTTGGGAGTTGTGGTTGCTGGGATTTATAGTTCACCTACAATCAAAGAGCATTCTGAACCCCACCAAATTGGGCCAAACTTCCCACAAAGAACCCCCATGACCAGCAGAAAATACTGTGTATCCTGATGGTCTTTGGTGACCCCTCAGACACCCCCTCGCGACCCCCACAGGGGTCCCGACCCCCAGGTTGAGAAACACTGGTCTAGAGGCATTCTCTCCTGACGTTTCGCCTGCATCTATGGCAAGCACCCAGGTCATTCCACGGATATATAAACCCCTTTTCCTAGTTCCAACAGACCTCACTACCTCTGAGGATGCTTGCCACAGATGCAGGCAAAACATCAGGAGAGAATGCCTCTAGACCAAGGCCATACAGCCCGAAAAAACCTACAACAACCCAACAGTAAAGATATTGGCATACTCAAGCTGCCTTCCGGCATTAGACATAGTACCTGTACAAAATGAATTATACACACCTGCCATGATGTCATCCAAAGTGTCATTGAGGGTCTGGGCAGGGCTGGCTACCATTAATCCTTGCTGTGCGTCTGTCAAAATTCCTTGTCCCAGCCCTGTAAGTTGTGCTTGGCCCAGTACTGGTTGTCCAACGATAACACCTTGTAGTTCAGTAAGATTTGCAATAGACCCTGGCGGTAAGGAGCTTGCGGACAGAGGCAAGGCCTGGGGCATTGTAAGAGGCTGAATCGGAGCAAAGCCCATCTGGGCAGCAGTTTGCTGGGGATCGTCTTTGAGTAAGTATGGGTCCACCTGTTGCAAGCGTGCATAGTCTCCCTCAGTAAGCTGCTCCCCCACACCAGCAGGAGTTAGTAGTCCCAAATGCTGACAAGACTGTTGCTGTTGCTGCTGCTGCTGCAGTTGAATTCGCTGTGCTTTCACCTCCAGGTATTGCTTTTTTAGCTGCTGCTGGGTTTTCAGCTGTAACTCCCGCTCTACTTTCTGCAGCTCCTCCAGAATTTTTTGCTTCTTCTGAATTTGTTCCTCTCTAGTTTTGTTCAGTTCCTCGATCTTCTCCTTGGTGAGCTGGTCAGCATGTGCCAATTCCAAGGACTGCAGCTGGGCATTCTTTTCTATGGCTTCCTTTATTCTTTGCTCCAGCTCTGTCAGCTTGCCCTGAGCCTCCTCAACAATGCTTTCTGGAGACTGGTTGGCGATGTAACCTTGTACGTCTGGGCTGGCTGGTTGCAAATGGCTGCTGGACTTTTGTTTGGAAGTGGCTGTGTGAAAGAGAAACACCCTCAGAACCAAATGGAAGTAAACATGAACAATATCCTCATTAAAGAACTACTGGTCAATCTATATAAATAAAAATGTAATGTTAGTTTGTGGGATTAACAGAACTCAAAAACCACTGGACGAATTGACACCAAACTTGGACACAAGACACCTAACAACCCAATCTATGTCCTTCACTCAAAAAATTGATTTTGTCATTTGGGAGTTGTAGTTGCTGGGATTTATAGTTCACCTACAATCAAAGAGCATTCTGAACTCAACAAATGATGGAATTGAATCAAACTTGGCACACAGGACTCCCATGACCAACAGAAAACACTAGAAAGGTTTGGTGGGCATTGATGTTGAGTGTGGCAGTTGTCGTTCACCTACATCCAGAGAACACTGTGGACACAAACAATGATGGATCTGGACCAAACTCTACACAAATACTCAATATGCCCAAATGTGAACACTGGTGGAGTTTGGGGGAAATAGATTCTTGACATTTGGGAGTTGCAGTTCCTAGGATTTATAGTTCACCTAGAATCACAGAGCATTCTGAACCCCACCAACAATAGAATTAGGCCAAACCTCCCACACAGAACCCCCATGACCACCAAAGTGGGCCACAGCAACGTGTGGCAGGGGACGGCTAGTAAAGCATAAAGGCACTGGGGCACCCATAGTAAAGAGGTCTATGGTGAAGAGCCAAACCTATTTTTCTGTTTGTACGTTATTGAGGAATTAGATCATAAATCTAAACAGCTTAGTCAGCACAGATTTACTATATAGAGTACTGATGCTGTTGGCTATGGATAATGACTACATATACTACAAGAGGTTTTTTTTATAAATAACTTCACTTGGAAAGTAACTCACAGCAAAGTTCAGACATGTTTACCTAAAAGGAAGCTGAACTGTGTGTAATAAATCTTACTTCTAGGTAAGAAAGCTTCAGCCTAAACATCTTAAGTTGAAAATAGAGTTGCAGAGATCTCAAGGGCTTGATTATCACCAAGCAAATGAAGAGGACAGTACAGGTTGCAACCAGAGGTGGGAGGTCACTTTCTTATCCTGACATTGTCCTTAAAAATATTTATTGATGGGTACAGAAACAAATTTAGGAAATTCAGATGATATTTTAAAATTTCAACTATTACATCTGGCCCGGCCATAGGTGTTTAAATCTCTCTGTGTTATTGTCTATATGTGAGTTATATTAATTGTATTGTTTTATTGCTTATTGTTTGTTGTTCTTATTGATGTGTTGTTGGGCTTGGCCTCATGTAAGCCACTCCAAGTCCCCTCGGGGAGATGGTGGTGGGGTATAAATAAAGTTTTTTATTATTATTATTATTATTATTATTATTATTATTATTATTATTATTAAATTTGTGCAAAACTATTTAGTTATAACAATAACATACCATACTGTGGATGCCTATGTCCCTATGAGGCTGAGGCAGTAGAAACTGTGGGGCACATTTTACTGTATTGCTTTTTCAAACAAGACCTTCAATGACGTTTTTATTAATCCAATTTTACAAAAAAATTACCTGGGAGACTTGAAAGTTTATATTGATTATCCTTTGGCCGACCAATCTTCTGACATTCTTGCCAAGGTTGCTAACTTCTGTGGAGTAGCAATAACTTGCTTGTGCAAGGATATTGTCACAGTTTAAAAAGGTTTTATTACACTATGTAACAAAAATTGAAAAAAATCTGTTGCTGATTTGAAAGTGTTATTCCCTGTTTAACTGCGTGGTGCTTACTTTGAAAGTAGTTGGTATACTCTATAAACAGCCTCAGCCCAATTTACCTGTCCGAATGCATCTCCTCCTATGAACAATTACGGAGATTAAGCTCCTCCGGGGAGGCCCTGCTTTCCGTTCCGCCATTGTGACAGGCAATCGTGGTGGGGATGAGAGAGAGGGCCTTCTCGGTGATTGCCCCCCCGGCTATGGAACTCCCTTCCTGGTGGGATCAGGTCGGTCCCCTCTCTCCTGTCCTTTAGAAGGATGGTAAAAACTTGGCTGTGAGACCAAGCTTTCAGGACAGGATAATAAAGCAGCAATAGGAAAGATTACCAGGCCAATTAGATTTGACGCTGATGACTAGGGCGGTTTTAAAAGGTGTCTTTTAATATTGAGATAAATGTTTTTAAATTTTATGTATGTGTATATGAATTTGTGTCCCAGCATTGAATGTTTGCCGTAGATATGCTGTGCTCCGCCCTGAGTCCCCTTTGGGGTGAGAAGGGCGGAATATAAATGTTTTAAATAAATAATAAATATAAAACTTTGTTTTGTGGCTGCCACAACCTATGTTGAATTGGTTGAGACTCGATGAGGTTTTCATTTAAAAATATAGCAAAATGTGCTGCAAGATATTGCTCAAAAACAAAGTTTTTACAATTTAATAAACCTTTTCCATGTTTTTATGATCGAACCAATTATGAAATGACATTTATAAGGAACAAAAACTGTGTTACGGAGTGTTACTTTATTTTAGCTTTTTAAATTGTTCTTTAAACATACAAATATGTAATACTGTTAACTCCCATACTTAATGCTGTCTCTTAACTCTGCTTTTAAAAGCTGTATTTTAATGTCTTAATGTTTGTTTTATATGTACCTTTTACTGTTTGTCTTAATGCTGGTCACTGACCGAACTAAAAATATTCACTTCACTTCTTCACTTCACTTTATTTCTTAATTAGTCACTCTCCACCAAGGTGCTCATTCAACATAACATTCAAAATAAAACATTCAACAGTGACTATTTGGCAAATTAGATCTGATTACTTAAATATTAATTCATTCCTTTCAAAATAAGCCAATTATCTTCCTCCTCATCTTTCATACTGAAGTAGTTAAAAAACCCTATCTTATTGTATTTATAAAAACTATGATTTAATAATAAGTTATTTTGGAAAGTGACATTCAGTACTCAATACTGAAGGGAAAAAATCTAGGAAAAAGGGCTCTCAGCAACCACAAGTATTTTGTGTATAAGATCTGGTTGTGATCTTGTTCACTTGACTTTACTAACAAATAGGCAAAGTTTTCAGTCTTTACTTAAAGCCAAGTATTTGCTTATAAATATTACTCCCTGCCCAAGAAAAAACCCCAAGTGATCCTGAACAAAAATATAATGATTTCACTGTAGGTATTTCTACATACAATGTTTGTAAACACACACATATATATACACACACACACAATTTAGTCTAAATTGAAAACTGTGACCTATTTTATATTGAAATGGGAGTTAATATCTATTGTGAAAACCACTCTAGGAAGGCTAAAGGAACAATCCACATGCCATCTGAGCAAGGCCAGAGACCAAGATTCCAAACTGTTTAATCTTCCCTTCAGTTTTATTACATAGCCTTATATTCTGTCAGCTTGGATTAGAAATTTTGATCTTCTGTCTTGATCAGCAGACCTTCTGAGAACGTTCTACTCACTAAACAAGTTTTAAAAATGACTTTTCAATGTATGGAATAGTTTTTTCACAGCCTTCAATTTCTTCTAGCATGACACAGCTACAAGTTTAACAAAAAACTATAATGATGCAATCTAGAAAGGCCTACACAATAGCCAAACTCTGCAAAAAAATCCAGGATAAAAATTATTTGTTGAACAGAAATATTCTGTACCGATGCAATAATCTACGTGTTATAACTGACCTTTATTTCTGATGGGAAGGGTTGTGGCGACATTAGCTGGGGGCTTATCGGGCTCTTGGGGTGGGACAACCATGGGAAGTGCCTGAACAGGAACGCGAGGAGCCTAAAAATGAGATATTACAATTAAAATACATGAAGTAAACAAACTGATATGAACTGTATAAATATGTATGCAATTCATAAGACAAAATCATTAGCTGTAATTGCAATTTTAGATGATAGAGAATTTCAGCCCTAGGGTTTTCAGCAGTGACAGAAGCATTTTAATATCGTAATTGAAACTATAAAACGGTAAGAAGACATAAATGGTCCCAGTTAACGAACTAGATAAAAATTCTGTCCTAGTCAAGACTTCCCTAGAATAGTTTTTCTGCAGAACCAGGTAGCAAGAATTAAATTAAATTTTAACATTTTTGGATTTAAGATGTGGTCTACAGCACCGCTTACTATAAAGTCAGTTTCCAGATGAAAGTCAGTTATTTTACAAAAATATAGTAATGAAATGGAATATATAACACAATCCAAAATGCTTTCTATTTAAATCTTACCCGATTTAAATCATGAGAGGGAGGAGTCAGCTGGGTAGACTCAGGTGGAGGAGCAGAAAGTAAGTTGTTTGGGTAGTCCAACAGGTAACAAACCACACTTGTATGACCACCTTTAGCAGCTTCTATTAGCATGGTGGAGCCATCCTATTGGGAAACAGGTATCATTAAGAATATTTTATTTATTTATATTCTAAAGATTTCAAGGTTGTATACAATAAAGTCAATGTAACTAATTTAAAACAACAAAAATAATAATATTTAAAGTAACACTGAGAGATTTACTATCATTTTCTATTTTGGAATACTCCATCAACACACAAAATTAGTATGTTCTTTGATACCCAGTGTTTTATAAAATATTTTAAAAGATTAATAATTTTAAAAAGTTATTATCCAGTATTAAAATGACTTTTAATGCTTCATTACTCCACTGATGTTTGTTCCTCCCCTCACCACTTCATATGACTTGCAGCCTGTTGCAAGTTCCCTTGGCTGCAGGCAACTAACAGAATGGTAGCAGGCACATTAAATCTAAAACTATATTATTGGATGAGATTAGATTTATATGAACAAGGTCCTTTACACAACAGTAGCATACAAAATTTATGTCTAAAAAAGTACTATCATATACAGGGTGAGGCAGCATAACTTCCTTTTTTAAAATGTGCGCCATTCAGACAGTTGAAGACGTAGCGGAGCGCTAGTGGTCTCATTCGAGAGGCGGGAGGATAAAGTTTTGTCCTGACACAGTTCAGTCGCCATCATGCGTTGGAACAGTGAGGAGCATGCTTTTGCCGTTGAGGCCTACTTTTCGAGCGGATTTGGAGTGGCCGGCCCGCTCTCCAGATTTGGCCCCTTGTGATTTTTTTCTATGGGGTTTTTGAAATCCCGTGTTTATGTGAACCGTCCAAGGACCCTACAAGATTTGAAGACCAACATCCAGGAAGAAATTGCCAACATAACGCTATGCTGGCAAGAGTTATGACAAACGCCAGAAATTGGTTTACTCAGTGTATGGAGAATGGGGGACGTCACCTACCTAATTTGATCTTCAAAACTACGTAAAACAAAACTTTAGGTATGTGCCTACATTATTAAAAAAATCTGATTCATACAATGGGTTTTATTAAGTTTTGAAAAAAGGAAGTTATGCTGCCTCACCCTGAATATGAGGCATGGGCAAACGTCGGCCCTGCAGGTGTTTTGGACTTCGACAATTTCTAACCATTGGTAAGCTACTCTCCTGGTACTTCTTTGAGGGAAAGCTACCATCTCCATTTTCTCATCCAGGCATTCAAAAAGTCCAGTGGAAAGAGCAGGGGGTTGGTGCTTACATTGACCCATGGAGAAACTGAGCTAAATTTCTTGAGTGTACACAGTAAATAATATAATGCTTTGTGCTCTGTTTCTCAATGCCTTACAATAGCTACTCAATACAGAATAAGATTAGAGAAAACACTACTACATACTTTCAGTCTGTGAGTAGGATCAGCGCCATGTGCCAACAACAATTCCACTACTGCCAAGTGCCCTCCAGCACAAGCAAGCGATAAAACTGTATGATCATTATTAGCTGTTGTCCTGTTCACATTTGCTCCTGTTAAAGAATAAAAAAGATGAGAAATAATTCTTATTCTTGATTGAACTATTGCCACTGGCCTTCTCCTATTAATGAGAGAACTACCGGGATTGTGGTGCAGCTGGCTGAGTGTCAGCTGCATTAAGATCACTCTGACCAAAAGGTCATGAGTTTGAAGCCAGCCCGGGTTGGAGTGGGTTTCCAACCAATTGTGTGTAGCCTGTTGTCGACCTTTGCAACCCGAAAGACAGTTGCATCTGTCAAGTAGGAAAATTAGTACCACCTTAAAGTGTGGAGAGGCTAAATTAACTGATTTATGAGGCCATAAAGAAGACTCCAGCAAAGCATTCCAGCGGGGAAGCATGCGGGGAATGCGGAAGTGCTTCATCAGCGTCGCAGATGGACGATGAAAGCGACAGCTCCCCTGGCGGCCAGAAAAGTTAAATAGCCTCTGTGTATGTCTGTATATGTTTGTATGTCAAACATTGGCATTGAATGTTTGCCATATATGTGTAATCCGCTCTGAGTCCCCTGCGGGGTGAGAAGGGCGGAATATAAAAGCTGTAAATAATAAATAATAATAATACAAGCCTCTTCTACTACAGTGGTAATGACTGACAGTGGAGAGAGACCTTCAACTATCCTACTACCTGAATCATGATCAGGGAAAGGAGAACTAGGAAAATTCACAAAGACTGGGAGAAAAATGCACAGATCACAATATGGTAACTCCGCTCTTTTGCACAAGGCAGGTCAGAAACCACAGGTGGGGAATTCCTCCAGAAGAAAGAATGGCTCAAATCTGCATAGGTTTTCTCTACAACTGACCACAGGAATCATGTCTATTACAAAAGGAAACTATTTCCTTTATTCTTAAGTACATCTCAGGTATTCACAGGTCGTAAAGTTGTTCTTTTATCTCCCCTTCTACTTGAACATATAGCCCTGAGCCCAATTAAGGATACAGTGATAAACACAGTACTAAAAACCTGTGCTGGATGGGGTTACACTCCCCTTGAAGGCCCAGGTTCACAGCTTGGGGGTCCTCCTGGACTCATCACTGAGCCTGGAATCCCAGGTTGCAGCAGTGGCCAGGGGAGCGTTCGCACAATTAAAATTGTGCGGCAGCTGCGCCCATACCTTGGGAAGTCAGACTTGGCCACGGTGGTCCACGCTCTCGTTACTGCAACACACTCTATGTGGGGTTGCCTTTGAAGACTGCTCCGAAGCTTCAAATAGTCCAACGAGAGGCAGCCAGGTTAATAACTGGGGCGGCATACAGGGAGCATACAACTCCCATGTTACGCCAGCTCCACTGGCTGCCAGTTTGCTACCGGGCACAATTCAAAGTGCTGGCTTTGGCCTATAAAGCCCTAAACAGTCCTGGCCCAAATGACCTGTCCGAACGCATCTCTCCCTATGAACCATCATGGAGATTAAGATCCTCCGGGGAGGCCCTGCTTTCCGTCCCGCCATTGTCACAGGCACAATTGGTGGGGATGAGAGACAGGGCCTTCTCGGTGATTGCTCCTTGGCTATGGAACTCCCTTCCTGGCGAGATCAGGTCAACCCCTTGTGGGACCAAGCTTTCGGGACAGGGCAAAATGCACCAATAGGAAAGATTACCAGGCTAATTAGACTTGACGTGAATGACTAGGACAGTTTTAAATGGTGTATTTTAGTATTTTGATAAATGTTTTTAATGTTTATGTATATATATAAGAATTTGTGTCCTGGCATTGAATGTTTGCCGTATATATGCTGTGCTTCGCCCTGAGTCCCCTTCGAGGTGAGAAGGGCGGAATATAAATGTTTTAAATAAAACAAACAAACAAATAACAGTTCAAGTCCAGCAAAATTAGCTGAATCAAGCAAGCAAAATAAGGCATATTTCATAAACAAACAAACAAACAAATAAATAAATAAATACCCACAGTATTCTACTCATTTAGCTGTATTCAAGGCCTTAACATTCTGAATAGAATCCAAAATCATACATTCAGGATGATTGCAACAATCATATACATAGCTAAAATGGTTGACTTGTTTTTTTTTTAAGCAGTAAACCTCAATTCTCTACCAGCCACACATAAATTCCCTTCAGTTTTGAGAATGGATTGGTGTATACTGGGCATGGAGAAGGGAAAGCTAATTGTTTCCTATGGCTATTTCATGGCTATTTCTGATTTAAACCTCATGGTTTAAATATTTGTGAACCTCATGGGTTCACAAGCACTAGCTGATCAGCCCTCTGGACCTTGGTTGTTGAAAGAGTGTATGTTTCCTTCTATAACAATGGTTTTCAATTTAATATATTTTCACATCTGGATTCCTGATGTACTATGAAGAGCATACATAGAATCACCCATACTCCATGAATGTACCTACGTGTAAGCATCAAGATTGAGGATAAGAGTTCAAATGCAATCTATTTCATAGTCATTATTCTATGTGTTGTTCTACATTGGTTTACATACTCCATAAAGAAGAGTATCAGTGTGACAGCAAGAACTGCTTCATCGTAAGCCTAAACTAAACACGGCAGCATATGCAAATGATCTGAGAAAAAGTATTTTCTGTGCTATATAAATTGAACCCATTTCTGGAAATCTTGTGTTTCTCTGTATTATAATATGCTAACTAACACGCAATTTGACATGTCAGTCCCTTCTTAATTTTAAGAGATGTCAATCCTGTATAGCCCCCAAACTGCTTCATTTTCCAACAAAAGGGTGCTTCAATAAATGTGTTTGATTCAATTCAGAAACAAACATATGAAGATCAATCAAAACATATTTTGATACAAACAAACCTTAAACAAACATAAAAACTGTAAGAAAAGTAAACATTCTTTACAAAAACCTACCTTTACTAATTAAGAACTGAACAGTGCAGACATGACCTGCTCTTGCAGCTTTCATAAGAGGCGTTCTTCCTCCTTCAGATTCATGTTCCTAGAAAAGATATGAGAGGTGGAGGGAAGGAAGAGAGGAAAACCATCTTTAAATAAGGAAGCCTTAATTATTATTAAAGTAGTTTTTATCCAAGCAATATTGTAAAGGTTTGATGCATGCACACATCATGCCCTCCCTTCAATAATGTCATGGCAGCATAAATGGCTCTTCCTCTCCCCACTTTATATTCAGAAATCTGTGAGGTAGGTCAGGCTGGAAGTAGGTAACTGGTCCAAGCAATCCTAGTGAATTTCATCACTCAGAGTTGAGCTAAGGTATATTTTTTTGTTGTAGAATAAATACAATTTGACACCACTTTTAACTGCCACAGCTCACTGCAATGGAATCATGGGAGTTGTACTTTTAAAGGTTTTTAGCCTTCTCTTCCAAAGAGTGCATTTGTTTATTGTGTTTATTGTAATTTTATATTGCTATGTTGTCTTTTGTTTTATGTAATTGAGTTATTATTGTTTATTACTTGCGTTTTCGGTTTTGTTTTATTTCATGTAATTGTTGTTTTCGGCTTGGCCTCATGTAAGCCACACCGAGTCCCCATCGGGGAGATGGAGCGGGGTACAAATAAAGTTTATTATTATTATTATTATTATTATTATTATTATTATTATTACAAATCCTAGGATTCCACAGGATTGAGACATGGCACTTACAGTAGTGTCAAACTGCACCAATTCCACAGTGTAGATGCAAACTGAAATGTGGATCTCCCAAGTCTTCAGGCCAAGACACCAAACAGTGTTTTTCAAATTATTATTATTATTATTATTATTATTATTATTATTATTATCATCATCATCATCATCATCATCATCATCATCATCATCATCATAATTAGAAACGCAACAAGATGAGTCCACAGCAGGTACTCTGCTGGCTGTTGTATTGGATCACACGTCGGACACTTCCCAAGTGTCTAGGACTATGTGATGTATCGGCGAATAATGTGTGCAGATTCCAGTAAGGTGGCCTTCTGCAGCTGGCAGATAGTAATTTTGTCAGCGCCAATTGTGTTTAAGTGCATGCCAAGGTCTTTAGGCACTGCACCCAGTGTGCTGATCACCACTGGGACCACCTTGACTGGCTTGTGCCACAGTCTTTGCAGTTCGATCTTTAAATCCACATATCGTGTCAGCTTTTCCAGTTGTTTCTCTTCAATCCTGATGTCACCTGGGATTGCAATATCGACAATCCATGCTTTGTTTTTTAACACGATTGTGAGGTCAGGAGTATTGTGCTCCAAAACTCTGTCTGTCTGAATTCGGAAGTCCCAGAGGAGTTTGACGTGCTCATTTTCTGTAACTTTTTCCAGCTTGTGATCCCACCAGTTCTTTGTCACAGGCAGATGGTATTTGTGGCACAAGTTCCAATGAATCATCTGAGCAACAGTGTTATGCCTCTGCTTGTAGTCTGTGCGATCTTCTTGCAGCAGCTGAGGATGTGATCTATTGTTTCATCTGCTTCCTTGCAGAGTCTACATTTGGGATCTGTCGTTGACTTTTCAATTCTGGCTTTGATGGCATTTGTTCTAATGGCTTAATATTATTATTATTGTTGTTGTTGTTGAATTCAATTGACTGTGCATTGTGATCTTGTGTTAATGATTCCCAGACAATCACAAGTGAACAATTCTATGCATTCAAAAGGAAATCCAACTGTACAACGGAATAATCAAAAATATAAAGCCCAAACGAGGAAATTTAACATGGATGAGAAACTGGGTGGAGGACAGGAGGACTTCCCAAGGCAATTTAACTAACAGGAAATCATCTCTTTTTTTGGAAATTCCCAATGTCAAGACCTTGCGTCTAACAGCAACCAGACACAGAGCCTTTACAGCAGTGGCACCATCACTCTGGAATACTCTGCCACCTGAAGTCCGTGCCTTGCGGGACCGCAGGGCATGTAAGACATATCTGTTTCGACAGGCCTTTGATCTTTGATATTGCTGTTTTTAAATTGCTTTTAAAATTGTTTTTAATTGTTTTTAAATTGTGTAAGATTTTAGCCTGTTCTTGTAAGCCGCTCTGAGCCCCAGGGGAGTGCCAGCATATAAGTTTGAATAACAAATAAATAAATAAATAAATAAAGCTCGGGTTCAGGCTTTTAGGCAGATTATATCTCCCAGTATGAAATGGCCTAAAATCCTCAGGAGAGGCCCTGCTCTTTGTCCCGCCACCATAGCAAATGTAGGGGATGGGATGTAATGAAGGGCCTTCTTGGTGGCTGCCCCTAGGCTCGGGAACCCTCTGCCTATAGAGGCTGGAATGGAATATCAGAAATACCTCTTCCTGAAATACCTTCTTCAAAAACCTTTTTATTCAGGCAGGCTTTTGAAGAAGTAAGTTGTTAAAAGCAAGCCAGGGGATTGTTCGTGGTATTTTAATTATTTTAACTGTTTTACGTATTTTAATTTTTAATAAAGTATTTTAAGTGATTTTAACTGTGTTGCTGTGAGTTTTCTGAGCTGTATGGCCATGTTCCAAAAGCATTCTCTCCTGACATTTGGCCCACATCTATGGCAGGCATTCTCAGAGGATGTGATGTCTGTTGGAAACTAGGCAAGGGGGGTTTATATATCTGAATTTTTTTTCTGTCGTGTCAGGAGCGACTTGAGAAACTGCAAGTCGCTTCTGGTATGAGAGAATTGGCCATCTGCAAGGACATTGCCCAGGGGATGCCCGAATGATTTGATGTTTTTATCATCATCCTTGTGGGAAGCTTCTCTCATGTCCCCGCATGAAGAGCTGGAGCTGATAGAGGGAGCTCATCCAGCTCTCCCCGGATTCGAATGTCCAGGGTGGGAAAAAGAACTCTTGTCTGTTGGAGGCAGATGTGAATGTTGCAACTGGCCAGCTTGATTAGCATTTAATACCCTTGCAGCTTTAAAGCCTGGCAGGTTCCTGCCTGGAGGGATCCTTTGTTGGGAGGTGTTAGCTGGCCCTGATTGTTTCCTGTCTGGAATTCCCCTGTTTTCTGAGTGTTGTACTTTATTTGCTGTCCTGATTTTAGATTGTAACTAATTTGTATGTTTAATCCTATTTTAATATTTATATGTCGTCGATTTTAAATTACGAACATTTTTAATGTTGTAAGCTGCTATGTGTCTCAATTGAAGAGATAAAGGTGGGATGTTATTATCATTACCATTATATCATTTTCTTTATCTCAGGTCATGAGAATGATGTGGAAAGGTCTGGATCTTTTCTCAGTGGAGAAATTCACCCTCAAACCCCTTTTATTTAGGACAGCTTGCCTAACTGGTTTTCTTCCAGTCAGCTAAAAGCTTCCCAGACCTTTCCTTTTTTGTTTTTTAAATTTATGCTAATGCTCTGTTCTAAAACTCTATTTTCTGCTATTAGCTACAATTACTGGTCCACGTTGTTTAGTGAATTTAATTTGATTTTACAATTAGGATATTTTGTAAGTTGTGAATACATAACCCATATTGAAATACATCAAGGCAAAATGGTTTCTTCTTAAATGGATGGCAAACAGATACAGGAAAGTGAGCTAGCTTACCAGATCTGCATCTGCTTGAAGCAACACATCTGCTACATCTGTATGGCCGTTCTCACAGGCATATGTCAGTGCTGTGTCTCCTGTAGCTGTTGTTGCATGCACATTTGCTCCTGAAGCAGAATGAAATATAGTAAGTTTAGAAAATATGCAAGACTCCAATGCTGTTTTGCAAGACTGCCTGCATTATTGAACTGCATTTCAAAATATTTTAAGTATTAAAATACTGAATTACTAGTTTGTTGTTACTACTTCACACATATTTACAATGATGCAAATTCCATGATACTATATATAAGGGCACGTCTAATAGGTTAATTATTTCAGTAAGTCAGTATAGAATATAACCTCATGACATTGAAACTTCAGTAGTTTTATGGGGTGTGTAACCACAAACAACACATGCATACAGAGGGCAATTCCGTACCTGCAACTAATAAATATTTCACTAGCTCCAGATGACCCTCCTGAGCAGCTTCCATTAAGGGTGTAGAACAACCAAGTTCTATATCAGCTCCTGCTTTAATGAGGAAATCAGCAACCTCCAAAAAGCCCCCACAGCATGCTAAAGTTAAGGCAGTTTCTTGCGTCTCTTCTGTCTGAGCATTGATGTTGGCTCCTTCAAGAAAGAAATATATCAAGACGAATTAAATTTTGATATAGCATTTTGAGATATTTCAACATTACTTGTATACAATTTCTCAAACCAATAGAGCCATCCCAGGTATTTACTAGTTCTATTTACAAGATAGCACTATGCAAGCCTAATCGCCTAAGAGTCTGTCAAACATACCTCTTAAAAGAAGAAAAATTTAGTACCCTTCTGATTGACAAGAGATTTTCTAATCAGTGTATTTTTCTTTTCAAGAAGAATAGTTGTGTTAATCTGTTGAAGCATAAAAATAAAAACTGGGGACTACTGTAGTATCACAGAAATTGACTGGACAGATACATTTCAGCAGAATAAAAGATTGTGCTGAAATGTATCTGTTGGTCTCAAAGGTGCACCTAAATCCATTCTTCCTCTTCCTCTTCTAATTTTTGTGATAATTAATTAAAATTTTGAATATTAAGAACGTAATCATATTCAGCATATAATCCATAACAGTGCTTTTTACAAGTGGAACAGTGGGTTTTTTTTAATACACCAACTACCATATACTATAAATAACATAATATGTATAAGCAAAAAAATCTACCATGAAAATATTATTATTATTATTATTATTATTATTATTAAAGAAATTTATATCTCGCCTTTCCCCACTTAAGGAAAGGTGGCTTACTGTAGGTAAAAACATGCATAATAAAAGTTAGCTCCAAAATTTTGGAAAGATATACACGAGGAAACCCAATGAATTTTTAATAAAAAATTCCCAAGGAAACCGGAATATTACCTATTGGGAATTACAGATAAAGACATAAATCTGAACTTAAATGAGGTTATTTTGTTTACTTATGTAATGATGGCCACCAGGATTGTATATGCGAAATTATGGAAGCAAAATGCAATACCAGAGAAGATTAATTGGTTAAAAAAGATAATTGAAATTAAAGACATGGATATATTAACTTTTTTATTAAGAAAGAATACAGGAAACCCGGCTAAGCAAACAAGTTGGACATCAATTGAAGTTTATATAGAAAAGAAATATAAGGAGTTGTAAGTCATAAAGGGAGAGCATATACACAAAATCGACAATGTGAGCAGAATTAGAAGGAAGCCCTTTTTCTATCTCTTTTTAAACTTTTTTTTCCCTTTTTCTTTTCTCTCATTTTTTCCCTTTTTCTCCATTTTTTTCTGGGAGGTGGTAATTTTTGGTTTTTTAGATTTTCACATTTTATTGTACTCTTTTTATCTTATTTTCCTACTTTTCTATCTTCTTCCAATATATTCCCCCACTTTCCATGTAATTATATAAACGGTTAATAAAAATTTATATATATATATATATATATATATAAAAAGTTAAAACATTTAAAACCACATATTACTAGTTGCTGCCACACGTCCTAAAACATCCATTAAACTATAATAAAACATTAAAACCACCTCTAAATACACCATACAGACCAGGGTCTTTTTTTGGGTATTTTTTTATTGTATAATACATAGAAACATACCATCTCTGAACTTAACATTCAAAATATCAGTATTTTTCGCAATCCCACCACCACCCCCACCCCCACCATCCCGGCCCAGGAACAGTTAAGTACTTTTTCTGTGTTTATTACAATTGTTCAATCATGAGAATATTCTTATTCACCATATATTTATCTTTCCCCTTTATTCTGTAAATGAGACCCTTCCATTTTGCTTCAGGCCAGGGTCTTCCACAACTTTGTAAACTTTGAGTTCAATCAAAGGCTTCCTTAAAAAGATAAGATTTTAAGGCTCCTTCTAAACTCCAACAGAGAGGGCACTGCTCTAATTTCCCCTTGGAGGGCATGCCAAAGGAGGGGTGCCATTCCCAAAAATGACGCCACTATGGAGATTTTAACCTGAGTGAATTACGGAACTTAGTCAACACCAGCTTTTCTCCACTAGATCTAAGAGTTCTCGCTGGAGTGTATTGTGGGAACCGCTGTGACAAGGAGTCTGGGCTGATGCTGTGAAGGGCAAATACCTTCAACACTGTTAGTAGCATAGATGATGAAAGCATGAATACTTTTGTAGTTACCTTGACCTAGAAGTAATGCTACCATCTCCTCATGACCTTCCCGGGCTGCCTCCATCAGTGGAGTATAGCCTTCATCATTTACTTCTTCCAGATTAGCCCCTCGCTCAATCAATAAGGCGGCCAGCTCCACATGCCCACCACAGGCCGCCAAAGTTAATGGAGATTCAAAAGAGTCAGCAGGCATGTTCACCTGAGCACCACTATCAAGAAGTAACCTGGCAACTTCCACATGGCCATCCTAAAAAGCAAAGACAACACATTAAAAACTACACCGATGCAGGAGAAAACTCCTTCACACTTTTATTTAGTATCACGAAGGGAAGTGCTATACAAAACATGTCACAGCATTCTAGGCAGAAAGTATTTATTTATTTATTTATTTATTTATGACATTTATACGCCGCCCTTCTCACCCCGAAGGGGACTCAGAGGGGCTTACAAGATATGTATACATACAATATATTATATTATAATAATAATACTTTCTTTATTTTTCGCTCTATCTCCACATTTATTTATTTAAAGCTTTTATAACCCGGTCTTCTCGACCTCCGAGGAGGGACTCAGGCCGGCTAACAACAGAGAATCAATATACAAATAAACTAAAGCATAATAACATCATAGTACATTAATACATTAAAACACATTAAAATACAGATCAAGAATTACATAAAGCCAATTCATCAAGGTAAATCACAAATTCACCACCTTGTGGTCAACAGTTATTGATTCGATCATCAATCTGAGAATGCTAAGTTCCAGAGCCAAGATTTTACCATCTTTCTGAAAGTCAGGAGGGAGGGGGCAGATCTAATCTCTATCGGGAGAGAGTTCCACAGCCGAGGGGCCACCACCGAGAAGGCCCTGTCTCTCGTCCCCACCAGATGCGATTGCGAAGGTGGTGGGATCGAGAGCAGGGCCCCTCCAGAAGATCTTAACAACCTTGATGGTTCATAGAGGAGAATCCATTCGGACAGGTAAACTGGGCTGGAGTCGTTTAGGGCTTTATAGGTTAACACCAGCACTTTGAATTGTGCTCGGAAGCTAATTGGCAGCCAGTGGAGCTGGTGCAACAGAGGAGTAGTATGCTCCCTGTACCCCGCTCCTGTTAGTAATCTGGCTGCTGCACGTTGGACTAGTTGTAGCTTCCTGGCAGTCTTCAGAGGCAACCCCACGTAGAGAGCGTTGCAGTAGTCTATACGGGATGTAACCAGAGCGTGGACCACCATGGCCAAGTCAGACTTCCCAAGGTACAGGCGCTATATCATAATATTATTAGTAATATTACATGTAATATAAATATATAATTATAATATCATATTATTATTATTATATTACATTACATTATAATATTATAAATATTTATATTATATTATATTATATTATATTATATTATATTATATTATATTATTAGAATAGCACAGGAGACAAGGTGGAACTGTCCCCTGACCCCCTCTCTGTTCACTCCGGCCCAGAGCAACAGTTGGTGCTGGGGAGAAGGGTTTTTTGCCAATTTAAATTAAGTAGTAGTTTTTTGCCAATTTAAATTGCCCAAACTTGCAGAAAGCTATCAAAAATGTGAAAAACCCACTTTTAAATCATCACTTATAGTTCACCAAGGAAACAGAACTCACAATGCATATATCCCCCTGCCTTATACTGTATGTACTCAAATGTAATGCTCACCATTTTTTGGCTGAATTACCTCGCCAAAATGAGGGTGCACATTAGATTCACACAGTACAATAATCATAGTGCTTAGTCAAACCAAAAGAGTAAACTGCTTCAAAGACACCTGGAGCTCCTATTTATTTATTTATTTATTTGAAGGGTGTCACCTCAAACGTAATGGCCACAGCTCAATGTTATGTAACACTGGGCTTTGTAGTTTGGTGAGACACTCGCATTCTTTGGCAGAGAAAGCTCAAGACCATGTAAAACTACATGATTTCATAACAGTGAGTCAGGACAGTTAAAATGGAATCATTTAATAGCATAGATGCACACCAAGGTTTCCCTTTTTATCACTGGAAGCTTTGGTATTCCAACACTTTTGTTTTTAAAGAAGGAATTCTAAACATGCAGTAATTGTAATGCACATCTTTTTTGGTCAAATTGCAAAAGTGTACTTTTGCCACTGAGCATTCAGGGTTTTGAAAACTGAGGTGTGTAGTAGATTCGACGGCGCATTAGACTCGAGTAAATATATGATCTGTTTGGGTATGTACGCTCAGAAAAGTTTTCTACTCAGTGGGCAAAACTGATAATTGTGTTTTGAAGGTATTTTACAATATTAGTTCCATATCACAGTTTCATTTCCTTTTTACAGGTCTTTATCATTTAAAAGTTATTCATTCATAATATGATCAGACAGCTTTTAATCTGAAACAGAGAGTCATACTAATTATTGAACCCCAAACAATTGATGCCTCTTACCATGCATGCCTCCATTAATGCAGTATGCATTTCATCTGTTTTATGCTCCTGGTCCGCACCTGCTTCCAACAAAAATCTCACCATTTCTAAATGCCCTAAAATAATAATAAAAACAATAATAGACTATATTAAAAACTAGGTTCATAGTATTTTAATAGACTATATTAAAAACTAGTTCAATGTATTAATGTGCAAAGATTACCTAAACCAGGGGCCCTCAAACCTTTTTAAACAGAGGGCCAGGTCACAGTCTCTCAAACTATTGGAGGGCTGGATTATAATTTGAAAAAAAATGAATGAATTCCTATGCATACTGCACATATCTTATTTGTAGTGCAAAAAACACTGAAAAACAATACAATAATTAAAATGAAGAACAATTTTAACAAATATGAACTTATTAGTATTTCAATGGGAAGTGTGGGCCTGCTTTTGGCTGATGAGATAGAATTGCTGTTGTTGTTGTGTGCTTTCAAGCCGTTTCAGACTTAGGTTGACCCTGAGTGAGGGCCGGGTAAATGACCTTGGAGGGCCACATCCAGTCCCGGGGCCCTAGTTTGAGGACACCTGACCTAAACAGTAGGAAAATCCTCCTGATGATAATAGCTGTTCCCGGAAATTTTTAAACAGAATCTGAATGGCTCATCAGGAATGCTTTGGTAGGAGGTTGGACTAGATGGGCTTTGCAGCCTCTTCCAACTTTACAAGTCTGTGAACAAACTCCTAAACGGATTCCCAAAATTTATAGGATCCTTTTAGTTACTCGGTTAGTGTTGGGGTTCAGCCTCCGTGTGAACCTGACCCTGATTCTTTGATTGTATTTCCTGATGCAACTGAACAGGCTACTGAACATGTAGTTTTCCCTGATGGTTTGGAAACTGTTGATTCTGAGGGCAGTGGATGGGAAAGTGAAACTAAACATCCTGATGAGGATGTTTCAGAATCAAGCGGTGATAACTCTCCAGAGGAGTTAACACCTGCCTTTTTTAATAAGGATAGAAGAAGGCAGATTTGGGAAAACAGGAGTGAATCACAGTGTCTGCGAAGGTCAAGTAGATTAAAGGAAAAGGAGGCTTGTCCCTGGAGGCGTGTCCCGAAACAGTTTCTTTAGTTTAAAGTGTCTTCCCCCGGGCTTGTCTGGTTAGATCAAGCATCGTTTAGACTGAGGCATTACCTTGGCTGAGTTCCCGTTTCCCATGGCCTGCATTCCCAGAGGATTTCCAAGTACAGTTAGTGAGATACTAACAGGTTCCAGGTTTTTTTTAGTATTGCTTTTGGAATTTTGATCTAGTTCAGAGATATTCCTGACTGCTGAATTTTACTGTGGCTTTTTGACTTTGCATTTTCCTCTATTTTGTAACCATTTTTTCATCAATAAAAAAGGATTGTTTTTCCCACAGACAAGTGTGGTGGATTTAATCTTATGGTCTTGTTTCCTGATCTGGGTTGCAACAGTTAGTATCAAGAATTAAGTATTTTTTTCTATTTAAACAGAAAAGTAGAGTAGAAATGCTGATGTTAATTAAAACTCTACATATAGCATTAGAGCATTCTTTGAAGATTAGAAAAGAAAATGCTTGGGATTTCAAATCTAAAGCACAAAACCTCTAACATGAAAATAGGCAAACATTCTCAGGAAAAACAAGGGAAAACAATATGGTGTTTACCCTTTAAAGTTGCTACATCTTTAAAACAACAGAGAGCAGAAGAAAAAGTCCTATAAAATCATAAGCTATTTTCTTTTCACATCATTCAATATAGGGTGTTGTTGTAATAGGCAATTTGTTCTAAACTTTCTCGCTGCTTCAATCTGTTTCCATCTTTTGCAAATGCCAAATTCCATTCCCCGGCAGAAAGGAACTGAACTATAGTACAAACACTGAACACCAACTGTGCCCTAATAAAAATATTTGCATACAGTACAATATTCCTTGCACTTTATCTTTCAGCCTGTTCCAGCACTGAATGGTTATACTCAGCTATTCTCCACAGAGAATAAGGATCCTGACGAAAATCAAATACAGACAGGGCTGCACTTCAATGAACTCAAATTACATAGGATAGAAATAAAACAATATCTTCGTTTCTTTTTAAATAAAATAAGAAGTCCTAATAATTGCAATGTGCATGGAACAGTACAGATTTTTTTTTTTTTGGTAAAACACTATAGTGGAAAGATTTCAATACTGTTTTACCTTTGTAGCAAGCCAGCGTAAGTGCACTCTCCTTAAATTCATTGGAATGTGTATTGATCCCAGCTCCATTTTCTAGCAGGACTCTGGCAACTTCCACATGTCCAGCACTCCCTGCCTCCATAAGGGGAGTGTGGCCATTTTCATTGTGGTCCTCAATACTAGCACCAGATTCCAACAGGGCCTTCACAACATCAACATAGCCTCCAGCGCAAGCATACGTGAGTGCTGTGTTGCCTAGTTCCAGGAAAGAAAAAGAGCAAGTTTTACTTGGAGGTCTAAACATCAATCATTTACAGTATTTCAGTGGTCAAAACACTGTGGCCCTCCATGTTGCTTTGGACTTCAACTCCTAGAATTCCTGACCAACAAGCTTCTGGGAGTTGGAGTTTCAAAGATCTTGAGGGCCAAAAGTTTGACAGCATTGTACCATCAGATCCTCATTAGAACTCACTGACTGGTCTAAGAAAATTCACTAACTGGAAATCTTCACCTACAATATCCCACGATATAGGGCAGGATGGAAGTTTAATAACCATCACCACCATCATTTGTAGGTTTTAATATGTTAGTTTTTTCTCCCAGAAAAAATAACAACATTCTGTGGAGATAAAATACTTTCAAAGCAATTCCAAATTGACATCTGAATCAAGTTGCCATAAAAAAGCACTACAACAGCAACATAAAAACTAACCTTAACATTCATGTTATCTGGCAAACTCTTGCTGATTTCTGGATTCTTGAACAGAATTGGAATCACAGATTGTCAAAAACTTCAGTCAATAACATGTGGTAAATTGAGGAACCAAGATTATAATGGAATAATAATACTGTATTCATCAAGATCATTGTAAAATTTAAAAGACAAATAGTTTATGAGAAGTAGTTGAAGCTCTTTAACCTATTCTGACGGTTGATGACTGACTCCGCTAGGCAACTTCCTGCCGGGAATACAGCTAGAGTGATTTGTAACAACTTATTTGTCGTGTCAGGGCAACCAGTCAATTATATTACATTTCTAACAGAACAAAGCAAACAAACAGACAAAACAAAATGTGTGAGTTTGGTAGTTGATTAAATGTCCTTTGACCAGTATCTGGCCACTTGGAGTGCTTCTGGTGTTGCTGAAAGAAGGTCCTCCATTGTGCATGTGGCAGGGCTCAGGTTGCATTGCAGCAGGTGGTCAGTGGTTTGCTCCTCTCCACACTCGCATGTCGTGGATTCCACTTTGTAACCCCATTTCTTGAGGTTGGCTCTGCATCTCGTGGTGCCAGAGCGCAGTCTGTTCAACGCCTTCCAAGTCGCCCAGTCCTCTGTGTGCCCAGAGGGGAGTCTCTCATTTGGTATCAGCCATTGGTTGAGGTTCTGGGTTTGAGCCTGCCACTTTTGGACTCTCGCTTGCTGAGGTGTTCCAGCGAGTGTCTCTGTAGATCTTAGAAATCTATTTCTAGATTTAAGTCGTTGACGTGCTGGTTGGTACCCAAAATGTGGGCGGCTGTACCTTCTCTCCATTCAAGAGGAGTATTATATTCTTGCTGTCAAAGCCAAAATTATTAGACAAGCTGCAAACTTTACAAATGGAAGGATGTCTTCAATATGTAAAAAGGACTTTAACAGTATTTATGAGCACATACATATTGTATTCATGTTGTATTCAACACACATGCATTTCCTCGTTCAAGTAAAAATGAACAATTAAAATAAAGAGTACTTTATTTTTCTTATTTTTCTTCAGCGTTTTTCCTGTTTGATGGCGGGGTCCACTTTACTGGTTTATTGGCGCCATTTCACCCGGTTGTGCACCTGGTCGGGGTATATGCCAGCAATCTTTAGACCCTTGTGCACTGTGTCCAGCCAGTCTATGGTCTCTTACCAGGCACTTCTAAATCAACAGCAATCTTGCAAATGAACTCGTCTTCACCTCGGAGAGTATGAACATACAATCTGAGTCATGATTCTTGTAGTTTGTCTGCAACTGGAGCAATGCCAAAGCATTGCTGGATGCCATCGTTGCAGATGTGGTCGAGGCGTGTGACACAAGCTGTAAATTGTAGCATCCTCATCTACATAACATCGAGGCAGCATTCTATTTCCTTTATTGTCAGCCAAAATTCGACTCCATATATTGCAGCAGACCTTACGACAGTTTGATAGATTTTTGATTTTAGATGACCAGACATATTCTTGTCGCAGAGTAGACTTGCTATCGAGTGCCATTTCATCCAAGCCACATTAATCTGTGTAGTTATTTTGTCAATGTTGAGTCCTGTGAAGACTGAGGATGAGGACAAGGATTTTCTGGTTGAGTCTGGTGGTTTTGGCGGGGGGGAGGGGGGGCAAAGTGTTTTTTAAGACAATGGGAATGTTTCAGATAGATATGTTGTTGGGGAAACAGGCAGCGATTCTCAGGAGAATCAGCCAGAGATTGACTCTGAAAGGAATGTGGAGGAGACAAGAGGGTTACATATAACTCAGATTTACAGATCAAAAGAGATAATGCGAAACAGAAACAAATGCAGTGTTCCCAGAAACTGAAAGATAAACAAAGGGAACCCAGGTGTGACAAAGGGTGATGCCATGGGCAAGCTGGAATATACTTAAAGAATTGGAGTCAATGTTCGGTGGGAAAATCAATGTTGGATTTTCATGTGTCAAGTTGCCTATCTTGGGAGCTCCAAGTTAGGATTTCTTTTGTTTTCCTGTTTAATTTCCATGCCTCCTGTGTTTTAAGTTTCAAGCTTTGGGGATTATAGTCAAATTCAAGTATATCAAGCCTTTGGATTATGGTCATGTTCATGCTTGCAAGCTTTTGGATATAATTTTAGTTTAAGTGCAACAAACCTTGGATTACAGTTTCTTGCTTTTGCCTTAAGTGATTTTTGGAATTCCTGTTCAGAGTTGGTCATTGCTTTTGGTAAGCTTCTGGAAATTTAACTCATGGATATATTTTGAAACTGTTTTTATATTATACACCCTTTTATTAATAAACTTACTATTCTTGCTCATTGCTGTGGTGTTTGGGTGAAAAAGGGATCAAGTCTGTGGCTGGGCTGCAACAGTCAAAAAGGTTGTCATCTGAATTTATTGTTGATCCGAGATACTTAAAGGTGATGACTTTTGGAAGATCCACCCATTCGCCTAGATCAGTGATGGGCAACCTTTTGAGCTTGGTGTGTCAAAATTTGCCAAAAACCTGAGCATAACTTGGGTGGGGTGTCAACTTCAAGAAAAAAAMCCCCATAATTTTGCAATATTTATAGTTTAAATAAGAAAAATGTATATTCCATGCTGAGTTATGGAGTGAATAATGCTCAAACATGTAGATGTTAAATTTGTAGAGCCTTTTACAAATTTAAGGATGGAATTAGATTGGCTCTTATAAGGTGTACTTCTCTGTATGCAGCCGCATGTGGCCGCGTGTCATCAAAAATAGCCATGCGTGTCAGTGCTGACACGCATGTTATAGGTTCACCATCAYGGGCCTAGATGGTACCTCATTGGTTGTCAGGTACTCCGACTTTTTGGCGTTGAGGTGAAGACCATGCTTGTACKTGACATTCAAGTTCTTCCTTGTCCTCAGAAGCAAGCATTACATTGTCAGCATACAGCAAAGCCCAAGGTGTCGGTTTCTGCAAGTCTCTAGTAACTGCATTCATTATAACAACAAAAAGGAGGTGAGAGAGAGCCGAGTCCTGATGCACACCGACTGTGATGGGGAACTCTGATTATGTGCCAGCAGCAGCCCGTAACCTGTTTTTTGGATCACTGTACAGAATCAACAACAACAATACAATACAATAAGCCTTTATTGGCATAACATGGCAGAGAGTATAAAACGCTGTACAGAATCCAGACTCAGTTGACCAGTTCTTTGGGAACGGCTTGTTGTCGTAATGTGTACCAAATAACTTCATGAGGGACGTGATCAAATACTTTCTCCAAACCAAGGAATGAAACATGAAGTGGCTTTCGTTTCTCAGTGTGTTTTTTTTCTCACCAAGAGCCAAGTGGCATGAATTGCATCAATGGTAAAGCAATCGGATATGAAACCACATCGGTTGGTAGTTAAATGGGCAATTTCACGAATTCTGTGCTCATAGTACGGGATAGCAGTCAGATCGGCCGGTAAGTTATACAGTCCGCATGGCTGCCTTTCTTCTTCCAGACTGGTATAGTTGTGCTTTGCTGCCAATCCACAGGTGTCTTTTTCTCGGCAACAATCTGAACAATTGTGCCAACAAGCCAGATGATGCCAGCATTTCGATTTCCACATACTATAGTATTATATATATATATTACTGCTATGGAATCTACCCCTCCATTGGTGATGGATATCCATGTCACTATTTGCACGTTACATAGTTTTTTTATTTACATTTTATTTATAAATTTGTCCAACAAAATGTATAACCATACATTCTTCTTTCTTTTTACAGTATCTTAGACAAAAGAGTATGTCATATTATATACAATCTAACAGTAAATAAACATCAAAAACTTCTTTAATCATATTTCTTATCATTATTTTTAAATTTCCATTACAACTTGTGCTACATATAACTCTATCGCACACCTTTTATCCGGTTATACATATTGTATTTCTTTATAATTATTATTATTATACCATTTTCCCCCTCTTCCCCTTACCCTTAGTTTGTGCCCCCTACACCAAGGCCAACCAACTCATGTTGTTTCACCATTCCAAAATATCATCGTTTCTCTTGCTGGCTTATACCCCTTTCCCTCATTAAACACATACTCGATAAATTTCCCCCATATTTTCCAAAAGTCTGTTTGTTTACATATTCCCCTTTTAATTTTAATATTGCAAGTTAGCTTATCATTAATCACTATATTCCAAATTTCCCTATACCATTCTTCTAATTGAATTTCTTTTTTTTCCTTCCAGTTTTTTTGCTATTAACAATTTAGCTGCTGTTATCAAATTAGAAACCAATTTTTTCTCCTCTTGTAAGGGAATTATATTATCATGTATAAGTAATAATGCTAATTTTGGTGTAATCTCAGTCTCTATTTTTATTATTGCTCTTATTTCTTTGAATATGCTTTCCCATAGTTTTATTGACTCAGAGTAACAGCTAGTAGCCCTGCAAATTGTTCTATGCCTGCTATACCTTACTACGCACACACCCAAATCAGGGAGATTTGTATATTTGTATATATTCAATTCTCTTACTGTTTTGTTGTTCTCATTTCCTTTTGTGATACACCACCCAGTTGTCTCTTCCACTCCACTGTCCACTAACCTCTGCCAATATTTTAAAGATCAGACATAAATTTTACATTGATGTTTCCAGTTGGTTTAAGATCACATTTGTTTGCAAACATGAATCTCCCTGAGGAGAAATATGGAATTTGTGGTACTGAATCCAAAGATTGCTCTGACTTCTTATTACGTTTAATCATAGCACATTTATTACCTGTTGAAGACTGTGCATTGACATCAGCACCATGAGCTAGCAGCAACTTGACAATTTTCACATGCCCTCCATTAGCAGCAGCCATTAAGGGTGTTATATCTCCTTTGACACCTCTGTCTTCAACGTTTGCATGCATTGCCAAGAGAACCTGTGGACAAAGAGAACAAATAACTGGTAATTAAGCTGAGCCATGACCAAGTTGCTCATTAGGAGGTCCCAATTTTTCACCATAGGATTGAATGAGGAGAATATCTTTTTCTCATAATGCATGTGCTAATTGAATTACTTAATACCAAGATGTTTGTTATCAGTAAACACTTTAGGGCAGTGGTTCTCAACCTGTGGGTCCCCAGGTGTTTTGGCCTACAACTCCCAGAAATCCCAGCCAGTTTACCAGCTGTTAGGATTTCTGGGAGTTGAAGGCCAAAACATCTGGGGACCCACAGGTTGAGAACCACTGCTTTGGGGATATCTAGTGTTCAGAAGATACCTATCTCATATCTGCATCTTTTTTGATTTAATTTCCCTAAAATTTATACTGCAATAAATTAGGTAATCATACAGCTCTTTGTTGTTTCAGATCAATTGTATAATTATGCAGATGCAATCCTGGCACACTTCCTATGTACTGTAAAACAAACACAAACACCTTTTGCGAATAACTGCAGTTACCATTAGTAAATGTATCACATAGTATTTTAAGCAATATTATTCAACACCAATAGTGTACATATAAGCTCCATAATTTCTAGCGAGAAGAAGGGCCCCGGAGTACAGCTTCCTGCCGACTGCGTCGAATCCCTTTCCCTCCTGGTCAGATGGGGTCGACGATTGTCAGCCTGAAGACTGTGCCGCCTTAACGATGACAGAATATGGATCTGGATGATGCTTCAGCCACTCCAGGCCTTTGTCATCTGTGCAATACCAGGCCTCAATTCTTTTAGAGGTAGAAGGTATCAACGATGGTGTCTGCCAGGAAGCTTGAATCACATCAAGCAAGTAAGGAAGAAATGGAAGAAAAGGGACCAGCAGAGCTTCTGACTGGACCCTTTTGAACTTCAACGTCTGCTTGATTTCAAGTCCCAGGGTGTCTGCCATGCGAACCATCTGGTCTGCAAATGCCCAAACATTATCAGTCGGTGAAGGAGGGTCGACGTCATAGGAGTTGTGGGTTGGAGACCGGTCGAGCCCGAGCAATAGGACCGAACCAGAGTGGACCGACTCTGGTGCCTCTGGAGCATCTTTGTCCTGGTCTTCATCCTCAGATTGAAAAGGTGAAGAAGAGGACGGTCTTAGTGGAGGCTGAGGAGGAGGAGGATGTCAAGGAGAAGATGGTGGCAGCTACTTCGACGCCGAGGCCTGAGCTGCTCGAGCCAAACAGGCGGCCTGCCTTCCTTTTTCTGGCGTGGAAGTGACTGGAAAGAGCTCCTGTCTATCAGAGGTCTAAGCAGGGGGAGGCTGCTGGGCGACCTGAACTACAGTATCTACCAACTGTACTGAGATTCTGGGAGCTCCTGAAGAACAGGCTCAGCAGGGTCCTCTGTTGGAGAAGGTTGCGACGGGCACAACGGTTGAGCTGAGGGAACCAGAGAAGAACGGCCTGAGGAGGTGGCCGAGGAGGCAGTGGTGGTCCTCTTTGAGGATGTTGAAGAAGTGGACCGAGGAAGAGCTTTTTTCTTTGCCGGCGGTTGAGGCAAAGATGGCCCCAAGAACGACTTCCCAGGAGTAGGTGGGACCGTAGCGGAGGTAGACGCCGTTTCTGCTCAGCGAGATTCCTCATGCGCCCTCTTAAAGGCAATTCTCACTGCTGTAAAAGATGGTGGGGTTGCAACCGTCGACCGAGTGGAGTGAGCCGACGCTACTGAACTTGTGGTTGAGGTTTGTTGAGTTTACATCATCTCCGTTGTGAGAGTGCACAGCTGCTTAGATTGCCTCATCTGTCTCGAGGATTTTGACGTTCCCGAAGTCGTTGACCGAGGCTTTGCTGGCTGTTTTGCTGCCGCTGAAGTTGAGGGCTCAGAAGATGAAGGTCCCACCGAAGTCAAAGGAGCCAAAGTTTGCTGGTAGAGAAGACACCGAAAGCTAGCAGCCCTATTCTACCTAGTTTGAGCCGTCAACGATTGACAATGGCAGAAGGAAGAGGTGATGTGGGTTCCGCTGAGACAAAGAAGGCACTTCGAGTGTTTATCAGTAAGGAATCTTCTTATAACACTGAGATCAGTGTTTGAACCGCGTTGTCGACATAGTGAGGAAGTTCCGATGAGAGCTTTACAGCGGAAAAAGAGTAATTGCAGAGCTTGCGCACGGGCGCCTTTTATGCCTTACGAGGCGACTGGGCAGGGTTACTGCCAAAACTTGCAGTTTTAAACTTGGGAAGTTTCCATGGGGCAGGCGCAGACACTTCACATGTGTACATTCATGTAAGCTGCCCCGAGTCTCCTTGGGGAGATGGTGGTGGGGTATAAATAAAGTGTATTATTATCATCATCATCATCATCATCATCATCATCATCATCATCATCACTATTATTCACAGAGTCCACGAAGAAAAATTGTTGTTGTATAATGTTGAAATGTGTAGCCAGAAACAACATACCTAATAGTTATAACACAAATTACCAATTGCAGAAACTATAAATCAAATAGTTGACCTCATGAGGCTTTATTTTAAAATCCGTTTTAAATTGGATTTTTAAGATTTTTTGTGGAACCTCTACAACACTTTTGTGGAACCCTAGGGCTCTGGGGAGCACAGCTTGGGAAATGCTGCTCTAGTAAATTCCATTAATTCAATGAGTCAACTCTATGAGACTAGCATCTGGATTTAGGACATAATCATTTAGAGAGGAAATCAAATTAAAATGGTCACCAACTGAAAAAAAGGTTGTAAATCTGGAATAGTCAAAGGTTCGGTGTAAGAAAATAACAAGACAAACCTGGGCAAGTTCATAGTACCCAGCAGAACAGGCTAAACAAAGAAGACTTTCTCCTTCTTCAGTGTGCTCATTCACACTTCGCCCTTCAATAAGCAACTTTCGCACAGCATTCACATCTCCCTCTGAGCAAGCTTCTGCTAGGCTGCGGCTATGGACAGAAAGAGGAAATTATGGTTAGAACTCATGCATCAATTGTCAAATAAGGCCATTAGGTTCTCATCATATTTACGCATAACTTGGCACTTGGATCTAGAGCAATACAACAGTCAGGTGCTTAAAATATACACACACATGAAAATTACTGCATCATTTTGTGGCCTTTGAAAAGTACTTTATTCATGTGATTATAAAATAAAGGTTGTAAAAGGATCATCGTAATTCCTAACTGCCTTTCAAAATGGCAATGCAACCAGAGTCCTAGAAAGGAAAAACTCAATGCCAAGTATGGATGTATGTTATAGATAAAGACTCTTATGGGGCTATACCAGGCATGGGTAAACTTTGACTCTCCAGGTGCTTTGGACTTCAACTCCCACAATTGCTAACAGCCTAACAGCTGTCAGGAATTGTGAAAATTGAAGTCAAAAACACCCAGAGGGCCAAAGTTTGCCCATGCCTGGGCTATACAATCCATCATTTAATTGTGGTTGCAGGTAAACAGTTATGAAACTGCACTACTGTGGGAGACCCATGTTCTAATCCCACTGATTACTATAATAAGGTGAATTCTACTACTGCCTCTGCATGTTCTAGCTGAATATATTATTCACTCAATGTCAATATCCATAAAAGCACATTCTGAGTTATACAAAATGAGTCAGTTGTGCTCTACTTGAAGCCGAGGAGAAGGAGTAATAGCATCCATCAGGAAAATCTGGATTCACGTTTGGCATCTCATAGAACACTCTTAACCATTAAGTTGCCATTACAGACATGCTACATCTTCAACCCTATGGTCTATATCTAGTGCTAATGTCTCAATTCCGATGTCTCCAGACATTGCTTAGTTATAAAACACTTATCCCAATAGGCTTACTGTCAGTGAGGGCATGTTTAAATCATATCCTAAATGCATATCAAATAGGTTTGTTAAATCAGCAAGGAGATTTACTTGGAGGAAGGTCTGAGGTGCCACTTTGTAATGTCATAGCAATGCTACTAATTTAATACTTCAGAGCTGCCAGAGTAAACAGTACAAAAGTGATTTCCTATCCTTGTGACATTCTCTGGACATGATTTAGAAGAGGAGGAAGGGAAGAACTGGGTGAAAAGCTAACAGCCACATAATTCTGAGAATGCTGCATACTGACTAATGTTTTCTTTCTGTAGTTACTATAGGAATAATCTTGAAGGTGGGATTGTTGTGTAATTCTTTATACATTCAGTGGGGGCTGAATGTTATTGTTGCTTTGCTTATTCTTTTAATATGCTGAGTGTTGTGTTGCTGCTGAATGAATCTGAAATAGAGCACTGGTTTAGGACCCTGAAAGCAGTGGCATCTTAATTTGAAGAATCTGCCTTGTCAGTACATAAAAATACAATACAACATATTCAGCCTACCTAGGACAAGGTAAAATGCAGCCTTGAAATCATATTTGAGACCCAAGAATGTGTTTTAACACTCCACTTCCCCCATATGCAAGACACAAAAGGACAAGATATTGCACAGTTCGTGACATCAAACAATACTTTACTACCAAGTTATGGCAAGATTTCTAACTTCTTCTGAGATATAAGCTCATTCCAATGTGCACTAATTTCCCACTTTGGGATCCATATACCAAATAATTTAAATAAGAAATGCCATATTTTAAAATCTGAATTGATGATAGTTTAGTATAAAATGGCTTTAGTGCAGCAAAATCATAAATAGCATCTATCAACACTTCCAAAACTTGCTTTCAAAAAATAAACACTCACTTGTCCATCTGCCCTGCACTTGCTGTGCTTTCAGCTCTCATCCGGGTAAGTGCAGCAGCAGCTTCATCCAACGCACAGCTGACCGAAGAAGTCAGTCTGCGAAGCACCTCAGGATCTGCAAAGGCTTTCCCATCGGCTGTGGATAATTTACCTATTCCTTTTCGGATGAGGGGATAAAGAGTATTGCAAAGGGAAAGAAGAAGAAAAAAAATTAAAACTGTACAGTATACTAAAAACACACCAGGCATATGTCTTGATTATGTAATTTTCAATCATAACATCAGTTTAAATTGTAATATAACCTTTTGAATCCATGAGAAAAAGCATCAGAGATATTAGCAGGGGAAAATGTCTTAGATAAAAGTCAGTAACCTTTGTAGTGAACAATATAAACCTGTTTGAAGATGTTCTTTACAGGTTAAAATAGGTTCCCTTTGTTAAAACCTGAAAAATCTAAAAAACTTTTCAAAAATTAACTCTTAACAGGTGCCTAAAGCTTTGCAAAGACAGCACTAAATAAATGGGGCACCACCAAGACCATCTATCTCATACCTTATTTGTAAGGGCTACCTAAAACACACCATCCTCCTCATGTAAAATGTTCTCTCAGGGGCAGGGTAGGGAGGGGAAATTTTAGCCAATTTTTGAAGTTTCAAATTGTTTTACAGCACAGGAGTGAGTTGGACCTTAGGACATTTATGGTTGAAGATTTCGCCAACGGATGCCACTTTCTCAAAAAAAATTGCTCTTCAAAATCAGAGTATGAATTCTTGGTCTTTACCTGCAGCTTCCAGTAAAGCTTCTAACCTAGCTTGGGTTTCTGGGTCTACTGTTCTTAAATCAGCACCATCAGCAGTACTTGACAGCAGTAATTTTGAAGCCGTCTCTAGCATTGGATTTTCCAGGTCATCCTGATCCAAAATAAAGGATTCCACCTAGAAGAAGAGAATGTTTTTTAAATAAAGATTCACACTGTGATAATGTCATAAGAAGTTCATGTTGTATAAATATTTTACTTTATAAATATTTACAAATGCATTATATATGATCTGTATTATAATCCATGTCAGCCGACTTCCAAAACAACCACGTGAAAACCATGAAGTACATGGTGAGGGAGCATAACTTCCTTTTTAAAAATGTGCGCCATTCTGTCGGTTGAAGACATAGCGGAGCGCTAGTGGTCTCGTTCGAGAGGCGGGACACAGTTCAGTCACCATCATACGTTGGAACAGTGAGGAGCGTGCTTTTGCTGTTGAGGCCTACTTTTCAAGCAGATTTGGAGTGGCTGGCCCGCACTCCAGATCTGGCCCCTTGTGATTTTTTTCTATGGGTTTTTTTGAAATCCCGTGTTAACCGGGGCTCATTACTGAGAGAGAGGTCAACCCTCCTGTTCAAGGAGCTCCACTGGCTGCCGTTTATCTTCCGAGCCCAATTCAAGGTGCAGGTGCTTACCTACAAAGCCCTGAACGGTTTGGGACCACCCTACCTACGTGACCGCATCTCTGTCTATGAACCCACACGCTCACTCCGGTCATCTGGAGAGGCCCTGCTCATGATCCCGCCCGCGTCACAGGCGCGCTTGGTGGGAACCCGAGACAGGGCCTTTTCTGTGGTGCCCCCCGACTCTGGAATGCCCTCCCAAAAGACCTTAGACAGGCCCCTTCGCTGGCAGTCTTCAGAAAGAACTTGAAGACCTGGCTGTTCTGATGTGCCTTTTCAGATCAGGAACCTCCAATACCAAGTCCTAGAAGCACTTTATAGAACTAAGATCACTACACACCGCACTTACTTTATAATCCTACATACCTCCTGCCACATCAGCACTTTTAATCTTGTACCCATTTTCTGGCCTGGCCCAGTTTTATATTGTCTTGATGTTTTGATGTATTGTTATTGCTRTTGTTTATTTCTGCTTAACTGTTTTAATTTGYGCTAGGTATTRTAYTGTTGTATTGTGTTTTGAGGCCTTGGCCTATGTAAGCCGCATYGAGTCCTGCGGGAGATGCTAGCGGGGTACAAATAAAGTTATAATAATAATAATAATAATAATAATAATAATAATAATAATAATATGTGAACCGTCCAATGACCCAACAAAATTGGAAGACCAACAACTAGGAAGAAATTGCCAACATAACACCTGCTATGCTGGCAAGAGTCATGACAAACGCCAGAAATCGGTTTACTCAGTGTATGGAGAATAGGGGACGTCACCTACCTAATCTGATCTTCAAAACTACGTAAAACAAAACTTTAGGTATGTGCCTACATTATACATTTTTTTCCCTAATTCATACAATGGGTTTTATTAAGTTTTGAAAAAAAGAAGTTATGCTGCCTCACCCTGTATAAGGATTAAAGCTTACTTCTAAAGTTGTTCCATTTCTTCTTTTTGCTTCAATTTAGAAACAATGTTATCCATTACTTCTCCCATGGCATAATTCTCTCTCCTCTCTAGCACATCTCTAGAGATTAATATGTTTTATAATGTTTTAATGTATTTAATTTTGATTTTAATTTTAATGTAGTTTAACTGTATATTGTTGTGAAGGCATTGAATTATTGCCTATCTGTAAGACACTTTAAGTTCCTTCTGGGGTAGAGAAAGGCGGGATATAAATGTAGTAAATAAATTTATAGAGTATTCAAGAACCCTGATCAAACTTTTTACAAAGTTGTACTGAGGCCACTAAGTCATGACTGTTTTATAAAACTGTTATCAAATACATAGCCAAAGTTGATTGCTTCTCCTTCACTATGCATGCCTTTGACAATGGTGCATAAGCCTGCTTTCTGTAGGCTGAAAGCAGTATAAACATTGCACAAATTCCTCAGAGCTATTCAGGCAGTACTTGAGCAATCAATTAAAAGGGCAAAGGAAATTATAGAATATTTTTTAGCTGCAGTTGAACAAACGTGACACAGAAGTGGTTCATATTAAGACTCATTGGATAGAAACTGTGTTCATTTTGACTTCACACATAAATCATCAGTTTATTTAAAGAATAAGACAAAGAGAAGCTCAGAAATCTTTCCTATACAAGACTTTCACATTGCTTGAAAGACAAGGATATGTTGAAAAAACAGACTCAGAAGCACAATTTAGACTCAATCAGCTGAGAGAGCTAAGGGCATGTCTTATTTCTCATTTAAGAAAAAATTAACAGACTACTACAATCTCCAGGACTTGTTTGATCACAAAGCACAGGCTCCCTATAAACCTTCTTCTGAAACTAAAATGCAGCATTTTTCTCGCATGGCTGGCAGTTATGGTTTATTTTCCATTTCCCTGACTATCCTTGTCAAAATACTCTCCAGCTTCCAAACAAGTGTTCAAAAATAACCACAAGTTTTTTAAAAAAAAAATCAACAATGACATTCCATTAAACAATGGTTTTATAAAATTGTTTTAAAGTACACAAATAATGAAATGTATTTTTAAAAGATAGAAGCTTTAGCCATCACTGCTTGTTAACAAAAAAGAGAGTTCTGTTTTAAAACAGCACTAAAAATTACATCGAAAATGGAAATGCCAGAATAATTGCTTCTGCTAGGACAGAAATACTTGTCTGCAGCATTCATAATAGAGAAGGCAACTCTTGTATAAGCAAGACGCACAATAGCGACAATCAGCTTATTCCAGATCTCTAGCTGACCAAAGCCTAGAATGCTGATAGTTTGTGCCATTTATTTATTTCCTTCCTTTGCAAGTAATTAAGGAAAATTAGTTTCAGAAGTTTGTTTCAAGTCTCCACACTGAGAAGTCTCCTCTCATGAGACAAATATTTTAACAAACCAGCATAATAATCCATAACATTATCTGTCAGGCCTACTCTTAGATACTCACTTACACACTCACTACTCTCTCCCATATACAGACAAGTTTTCAAAGAAAATTAAGAGATTACACAAGACACTAGGTCATCCAGAAATTTTTTCTTCAAGTCTAAAAACAAAAAGCTGGACTTCTGCTTATTTAATTCTGCATAAGCACTGCCAAGCTTGTTGACTGAAAGGTCGCAGGTTTGAATCCGGGGAGCGGCATGAGTTTCCGCTGTCAGCCCCAGCTTCTGCTAACCTAGCAGTTTGAAAACATGCAAATATGAGTAGATCAATAGGTACCGCTCCGACGGGAAGGTAACGGCACTCCAAGCAGTCATGCCAGCCGCATGACCTTGAAGGTGTCTACGGACAACGCCGGCTCTTCGGCTTAGAAATGGAGATGAGCACCACACCCCAGAGTCGGACACGGTTGGACTTAATGTCAGGGGAAAACCTTTACCTTACCTTTAAGCACTACCAAACAGAGCGTTCAAGGGCCAGGGCTTCCCAGTTCTCGGTGTCCATGCCAGAATTTTTGAGGTGGCTTTAAGCCCATCTTTAAATCTCTTTTCCACAAACATTCCGTTTTCCATTCTTGAGTTCAAGTAGAGTAACTGTTTTGGGAGATGGTGATTGGGCATTTGGCCAACGTGACCAGTCCAGCGGAGTTGGTGGCAGAGGAGCATTGCTTCAATTCTGGTGGTCTTTGCTTCTTGACTTTTGTCCGCCTGTCTTCCCAAGAGATTTGCTGGATTTTTCAAAAGCAGTGCTGATGGAATCGCTCCAGGAGTTGTGTATGATGTCTGTAGACAGTCCACGTTTCACAGGCGTATAGCAGGTTGGGAGGACAATAGCTTTATAAACAAGCATCTTGGTATCCCTTATGAAAATCCCAGTCCTCAAACACTTTCTGCTTCATTTGGAAGAATGCTGCACTCGCAGAGCTCAGGCGGTGTCGCATTTCAGTGTCAATGTCGACTTTTGTGGAGAGGTGGCTGCCAAGATAGCGGAAATGGTCAACATATTCTAATGTTACACCATTAGGTTGTATTTCTGGCATTGAAGGCGAATTGGCTGGTGACTGCTGGAAGAGCACTTTGGTTTTCTCAAGGTTCAATGACAGGCTGAGCTTCTCGTATGCTTCTGCCAAGGTGTTTAGTGGCTTGTAGGTCTTCTTCTGAATGTGCACAAACGACATTATCATCAGCATATTGAAGTACTGTAACAGATACTGTTGTGACCTTGGTTTTAGCTTTCAGTTTGCTGAGGTTAAATAACTTGCCACTTGTCCAATAAATGATTTTCACTCCTGTGGATAGTTTCCAGTCAACAAGATGAAGTATCATAGCGATGAAGATGGAAAATAAGGCTAGGGCAATAACACATCCCTGTTTGACACCTGATTCCACCTTAAATGGGTCACTTTGACTGTTGCCATCATGTCATCGTAGAGGAGCCGCAGGATGTTCATAAATTTGTCAGGGCACCCAATTTTTTGGAGGATGGTCCAGAGAGCACTGGTCTCTATATATCATATCCGACAATATGTGTTAGCAAGAACACTGAACAAGATCTTGGAATCAGTGTTCTTGTTCATATTATGTTCTGTATCTAGAACATCCATTTAAGTGTAGTACATCAGATACTTCCCCTTCTTTCTCCACAATATTCTCTCTTCCTTGAACTTTATCTTACCTATATTTCCACTGTTTTTTGCAGTTTCTCAAGTCACTCCTGACACGAGAGAAAACAAACTGTTTTTTAAAACTTTTCTAATCTAGTTCTCTTGAGATTTCAATGCCTTGATATTGTAATAGCTATTATTACTGCCACAAAGAACCCTAATACTCTGATATTATGAACCACTATATCACATCAACACTTCCAAGATCAGATGCATCCCTGCCTGCCCAAACCAGAAACGTAAACACAGGACTGCCACCCAATCCATCAACTGCAAAAACGCAGCAGAAAAAAAGAGGATTATCTGTATGTGTGTGTGTGAAAAACTATATGGTAAAACAGAAGGAAGAAAGCAAAGACAGATGGAACATTCAGGAGTTTCTCTCTCACATCTATGACAAGGCAAAAGCTTGAAAACATCAAACAT